ATTTCTAATTTTACATTTTTTACAATTTCTTTAGACAATTTTTTTTCTTTTTTTAAAATTTTGAAACAAATGTTAAGTCAGTCGTGATATATCATACACATGATAATATATTTGAACTACATTATGCTTTTGTGATTTCTGAACTTTAATAACATTCTGATTTTCAATAAAATAAGCAAAGTTTGTTATTCCCCTCAATATATCAAGGTCAGAAGTAAAAAGCTGTTTTCTAAATATAGCAACTTTTTGATAGGCACACTTTTTTCCTTATAGGTCAGGTGTACATGTACAGTACTACTTAAATACCATTTTAAAACTTTATCTTGAAAAATCTTTTTCCCTTTCACTTTATCTTAAATTTTTTTTTTCCTTTTACCTTACAACAAAATACATTCTTTTTGTATAACATTTAGAATATCATTATTTTAACTTCCTTAAAAGTGACAAATATATACCCTGAGATAAGTAAATGACTAGATCAGAAGGCTTCACAAAAGGTAGGATGTCCTTCTTCATATCATTAAATGATATCTGGAAGTGTTTACCCTGAAAAATTAAGGAAATATATATAAACCATAGGAGTACAGAAATAAAGAATTAATAATTCATACACTAAAAATACCATTGACATTGATCTTCTAAATGATGTTAGTTCAAGGTCATTACACATTCTCTACTTTTAAAAGACTTTGTTTCCGATACAAAAGAGCTTTTAATATTAAATTTTTCATTTAAAAGGTATGGCCTGGACAGGAAGTGGACAGATAAGCATGCTGATAGGTTATCAAAGGACGTGGAAATTTTCCTTTTTAAATTTGTTGTCTTGCATAAGCTGCATTTATGTTGATCTTTTAATTTTGTTACATTTTTCAGTCTGCCTGATTTCATAAACTGTAAAACACACTCATAGCGAACATCTTATAATCCGATGTGTACAGCAAAGCGATTTTCATTTTCTGTGGCTTTAAAATATATTGTGAATTTAACGGATATAACGAATTATGTTTATAATGAAATAAAATCGTCTGTCCTTGGCTTTTTGGTAATATAAGCTTGTTTTACTTAACATTTTCCAGAACACACCTACACACTGACGTACTCACCAATAAGCTGAGGTCTCCATCATTGTTCCTGAAAGCTTTGTAACCTTGGTCCAAAAATCCTCTCACATCAGAAAGAGCTAAAATAGTTCAAATTATCTCATAAAATTCTATCATCCACAAAAAAATTTCTTATTAAGAAAATTTACGGTCAGAAAACTGATGGGCTTTAAGTAAGAGAAGAGAAACTAACAAGATCCATAAGTTGGAGGACATTCAGAGGCGTCTATCATTCCCATGATGCCTAGTGTGTCCTCACCAACGTAGTATATGCTGCCATTAGACCTCAAACTGGAGAAAAATAAAAATTATTAGTTTTAGGGGATCATTTATTGACATACTGATAATTTAATTCCAATACTGCCTACATACCTATTTCCTGCCAGTTCTACTATCTGAGCAATATTCCTTATGTTTTCTTTTGTATAAATATGATCACATACAGCTTGATAGCACCGAAGGAAAGGTTCTGTCTGCCTACAATATAGAACTATTCTTATAATATGAGCATACATGTATATTAACTAAAAACTATTGTTAGCAGTTCAGAACTGACAAAATAAATATACTAGGACCAGATACAATTCACATTCAGTAATGGATTTCTCTATTTATAAATCTATTAACATTCATGAAGTATAGATGAACATACATGTACCTACCAAGGCCTTTCCACAGGCAGAACAGATAAAGTAGCACCTGCAAAAATTGTCTCCAGAAGGATTTTAGTCGCTGACCCACTTTTCATTCGACTAGATCCAGCGATTGGCTCTGGCTGAAATGAAAAAAAAAAGTGCAAAAAACATTTATACTATATTTCGTTGTTTCTCTTAACTTGCAATACATTATTTGTGAGAAACAGTTTTGTTAAAACTTATACCCCAACAACGGGATTCAGAATAAACACTTTAGAGGAGGCCTTCATTTCTTCCATTTTGTTCACCACTGCAAGAAAAAAATTAAATTTTGTAACCATGCAGCTTATACCTTATCATTCTTATTCTCCATTCTAAATTCCTTCTATCACAGATTTGGGAGATGTTTCTGTTGATCAATTTACAACAGATAACAGTAGATTGTTAGACACATACATGTACATTTCTTTTATAACTTGCCTTGTAAAAAAGTGGAATTCCATTTTTCTATTGGATTATTTCTGAAAGAAAAGAAAAATAATGATCATACTACACCAGTTTTGTTTTCATTTGCAGTCCATTACAATGGTGCCACTTAAACAACTGAGAAAAAGAAAGGAGCTGTAAAAATCCCAAAAACTACAGGTGTGAACACATCTAGTTTATCCAGATGACCAGATAGCATCTGACCTTACCTTGCTAGATGAGTGGGATTGAATCCTAGAACTGCAGGTGTGAACACATCTAGGTTATCTTAGTAGAACCTGACCTTACCTTGCTAGATGAGTGGGATTGAACCCTAAAACTACAGGTGTGAACACATCTAGGTTATCTAGGTAGAACCTGACCTTACCTTGCTAGATGAGTGGGATTGAACCCTAAAACTACAGGTGTGAACACATCTAGGTTATCTAGGCAGTACTGAACTTGACCTTACCTTGCTAGATGAGTGGGATTGAACCCTAAAACTACAGGTGTGAACACATCTAGGTTATCTAGGCAGTACTGAAGCTGACCTCCCACAAAAGGGGCAGACAACCCACATGTTATTCCAATAAAGAGCACCTGCTTCTTCCCAGCTGTTGCCTGACAATAATCAAGAGTTTATATTGGATTACAAAGAACTGTCCTTATATTTTATGCTAAGCATGTAGTACGCTCAATACAGACCTCCTTCAGCATTTCCACTCCACATTGTGGATCATCTTCGGGTGCCTCTTGGGAGGTAAACAGGGCTCTAAATCCAATATAGAAACAAAAAATAATTACAATCATCTAAATGAAGGGAATCTAAATCTAGAAATAAGTGTCTTTATTATGAAACATAAATAGAATTGCTAGGGCTGTCATAAAAACAGTGAACTAATGATAATAGCCTCCTTGATTAGTTGCAAGTGGTGCAGGCACTTACTTATCCCTCCCTGCTATAAGATATTTGAAACATGGCAGCCTGGACAATTCAGACAGCTTTGCATTGAAAGTTCTCTGTAACAAAGAGAGACAGCTATCATTACCTTTAAATAGTCATCATTTACCATTCCCACAATAATGAAACAAGTTAAACTTACTGTCGTAATAAAACCAATCCTGCCAGAGGTTCCACAGCCACTAAGTACTACAGCACCTGTTGCGGGATTCTAAAATAAAATTCAGTGATGTTATGCATTATAGCTTTTGTAACAGATCCTACCTCTACCCATTCTGGATAAAAACAACTATATCATATAGAGAGGGGTGTGAAAAATTGTACTTCACTGACACAGGATCTATGTAATAAACAAACCTTGATAACAGAGGCTGCAACGGTGATTAATTTGTCTAAGGTTGCCAACACATCTGCATCAAATAAACTCTGAAAATAAAGGAAAACTTAACATTTATAATATGAAATCCATATTATTTCTTTACTCTAGAAGTCTTCTAAACTTTTAGGCATACTTCTATATTCACTATACATGCAATTAATTACTTTATACTTACTTTATACTCATTCCAACCTTCGAATATTTCTTGATCACATTTATGAAGCAAAGAAACTATATCTACAAGAGAGAAAAAAAATGTACTCAAAATCAGTTTCAGGTAATGATTATGCACAATAAATTGATAATTAGATTTTATAGAACAATTGTCTTTACACCTACCTAAAGGGCTGGCAACATCAATATTCTTTGTGATGGGGTTGGCAGCCTCTGTTACTGGAGTAGGCATTTCTTCACCTGCAAGAATGCAAAGGGACTATCAGCCTAACTGAAGTCTTTCAGGAGTTATTCCCCTTGAAACACATTTTTTTGGCCCACATTACTTTGCTTTGCCCTTTGGAACATTGCAAGGACTTGATTTCATTTTTTTTCTTTGATGCACCAGGTAGAGTGATCGAAACCTTGCATTATAACTCTTCTCAGCTATCATGCATATCTATGCCTATAAGACTAACCATGCTAACATGACTATGTCATGATGCCATTTTATACTAGTTGAAACACCCCTCTTAATGAATTTTTTTCCATAAGAAAATATATATACTGCGTAAAAAGGACATTGCAATTTTCTTTCTGTTAAGAAAATAACACCTTTTACTGACAACAAACACTAGAAATAGGGATCGATGTCATATCCTGTATTAAACAACGTTACCTGCCAGTCCTGCCGTAGACTGCATGTAAAACTCTTATCAATTCAACTGGCTGGTTTTTGGGGTCATCTGACATCATGTTTACTTTCATGTTTAGCTAGCAGTAACACGAATATCGCGCTTCCTGGTACTAAAATGATCATTTAAACAAGTCCAAGTGTACAAACTGTTTATTACATACTGCCTACAGGGTGTCATAAAAGTAAAGCACATATTTTTCTCACATATTAGTCTGTACTATCATTCGACAGTCACTTTACAAAGAATCTGGAAACAGAGGAATGTTATCTTTCTAAACCTCAATCAAAAGAATATTTTTAAAGCGTATATTGTGCTGCTGGTCTTTTCTGGTATGGAAGTTGGTTTGTGCATACTTCAGCATGTTCAGATGGCCTTAAATTAGCTTATGAAAAATAATTGACAAAGTCATACATTTATATCTCAACCATACATATTACCATGTTTAAATATCCTGAATCAATGTGCTTTATCAAAAGAAGTTATAATCAGAGCTGTGTGCTGAAGCGATGAACAATTCAAGAATTGAATATTTAAATCGGGATCGTAATTCGATGAACAGGTACTTCCGCTCCAAGGAAACTAATGTAAACAATTTTTCAATTTTGGAAAAATTATCATACTTGTTACCGAAGAAATTGATTTTCCGGGGCTGTCACAACAAGTGGTAGCATGGCAAAGCAACTGACACGAGATTTTGTAGAAAGAAGAATTCACCCCCTTACGATACAACCCGGTGAATGGGGAGTAGAAACAAGGGGAAGCAACTATGAGCTAGATTTAAAGATGTGCCAGTTGAGAGATATTGTATTCAGCTTCCACTGGGGAGATGAAAGGTTGGAACTTGATTTATTCTTTTTTTAGAGAAGTGGACAGGCTTTTGCCATCTCGTATGAAGGCAAAAGTCTGTCCTTTTCATTTAAAAGAATTTATATGCTTGATTAAGAAATCTTTTATTGTTGATACGTATTACTTGTTTATATAAAATTTTCTTCATGCACTTCATTTATCGATTTTTAGTTTTTTATTTTGTGTGTCTCTCTGTATTTAATATGCCTTAACAGGTTGGGACCAATCGCCCAAATGGGATATAATAGCCCGTTTGGGATATAATATCCCAAATGGGATATAAATTCACAGTGCAAAAAATGAAAAATTTCATTTTGGCTATAAATATCATAAATCCGCATCAGAATTCTTAAAAAGGAATAACTTTTGGCATACAAGTTTTTCTGCAACCCTACAGTTTGTTAGATTGATCCCCAAGAAGTTTAGGAACTTCCGAGAGATCAATCTCCTAAACAGTGGGCATATAGAAAAACTTGTAAACCAAAAGTTATTCCTTTATTATAAGTATGTTGCTGCGGATTTATGATATTTATAGCCAAAATAAAAATTTTCATTTTTTGCACTGTAAATTTATATCCCATTTGGGATATTATATCCCAAATGGGTATTATATCCCATTTGAGCGATTGGTCCCAACCTGCTTAAGCCAGTTAAGGCTCCAGAAATTCATGTTCAGTATTTTTCATTGATAGTTTTTCATTTTCCATATATTCGAATGAGAGCATCTACTTTTCTTTTCATTGTAAAAACACTTTTCTTTTACAGGGAGCCACAGGCCAGATTGTCCTCTGTGATTGATACACCCTCTCGTATCCTCAAAATGGATGTATCTTTAAATGAGTTGTCTTCCTTAGAGCATGAGAGTTTCCTACCATTTCAGAATCTGCGAGAACTGAATGCATCATTAAACAAAATAAACAAGTAAGCATGAATATTCAATTAAGTACTTTCTCCTTTGCATGGATACAGAAATGTTATATGAAAAATGTTTCATAAAAATATACTAAGTATGTAGAAATGCGGTTTTCATTTGTTCTACATTTGTTCTATGTTAATCAATATTGATTGTGTAAAGTTTTTGCTCCAAAATAATTGACAAAGAACTTAAAAGTAAAAATTAGCTAAATTATTCTTAACAATGATGTTCAAATGCAACTATGTGGGGAAATTTTATTCAACACTTACAACCATCAATAAATGTGAATAAAACATCCAGTTTAAATATTATTATCTCTTAACTTTTACTGATATAATGCTTTAGTTTACATAGCAATTTTCTGTTATTTCAGATTCATAGGTATAGAGGTGTGTAAAAAATTGTATTCCTTGAATTTATCCCACAATTCTATATCTCAAATTGAGAACCTTGTGAGAAGTAGTTCCTTGGTTGAGTTGAATCTCAGCATGAATGAACTGGAGGATATATCGTACATGCCAAGCATGATGAACCTGCAGATCCTTAACTTAAATAATAATAAGGTACTTGTACATACTTTAAAACTTTTTTTTTGTCATGTGTACGGTAAGCCAAAGGAGAATTTCGTATTTAAGTAAAGTACTGACGTTTCTTGGTGAATAAACTACTTTTAATTGATGAAATTCTCAAAAACATAATACAGTGTAATGTCCCTATTTATTTTATAAAAAACTGAATAGCAATGATTTCTCAATTGTTTAAAATGGTTCAGTGAGTTATTTTTCTCTCCTTTCACAAAATAAATAAAAAACAACAGGATGTTATATTAGGACTATATATCATGTACATACATTGTTTTAGATCAAGTCTCTGGATGGTGTCCAAGCACTACCACAACTAAGAGAATTGTACGCACAAAGGAATGAAGTGGTAGGTACAAGGCATACACATAACTTAATTCTCAAGATGAATGTATGAATTTGAAGAAAGAAAATGTCACTGTGTAAAGACTTATAAACAAGTGAAAGTAACTGCTAAATGAGGTAACTTAGGTTGTGCAGTGGTAACAAATTTTTGCAGATTTAAGTCAATGATACTGACATGAGTTCTAATCATTCCAAACTTAGATGACCTTTGAAATTTATTTCCATGAAACATAACAATATTTTCAGATGTTAATAGAATCTTGACATTGTTATTTCCTTCAGACAGAAATGATTCCCCTGACCAGCTGCTTTCATCTACAAATCCTGAATTTGTCCGGTAACAGAATCCACTCCCTTCACAATGCTGTAGGGGTTCTAGGTCAACTGAAGAGGCTTGATGTTCTCTCTCTACATGTAAGTCAACAGTTTCAATAACTTTTTTTTCTTGAAACACATTTCCCAAAAATGGGTCTACTGTCAATGCTCTGTAGAGTCAGCTGTTTTTAAACAATTGATAAAAATTAAAGAAGAAAAGTCTGTATGGGTTTTGGAATTTGGGAATGTAAATTTTTGCTGTTTTTCCTTTGATACCCGTCATCATCATGGCTTCTTTTGGTTTTGGGTGGAACTTAGGGCCTCAGAAACAGTCCTCCAGTGCACTCTGTTTTGGGCAGCCTTTTTCAGTTGTCCACAGCTCGTATCGAGGAGACTACATCTCCACTTCCTAGAGATAGTGATGAAGTCCGTTTGGTCTCTGGTTTTCCATCAGGGGAAACCCCCCGTCTCTGTGGATGTTTTTGTACTGGTAGACACTTCTTTCTATCACAAGGTCATTGAATGCACAAAAATCTGTGAACAACTCTCCATTCTCATTCATGTCCCCAAGTGCCTGGGTGCCCATGATGAGTTCTCTCCCAGAGTTGTCTGCACCTGTCTTGGCATTCATGTCACCAGTCAAGATTTTGATGTCACATCTTGGTCATCTACAGTGTATGTTGGTGAGTAGCACTGAATCAGTTACTTTCCATCCTTTAGAGTGGAATTTTGCTGTTATTATCCTTGTTGAGATTGGTTCCCATTCTATCAGTCCCACTTGCTGAAGCTGAGGACATTGTGATGGTAACTCCTTCTGTGTGTTCGTAGTTTTCATCTGCATGTCCAGAGTAGATGATTGTTTCTCCACTAGTCTGTGTAGACATGCCAGTTCCATTCCATCTGCTTTCACATATTCCAAGAAGTTGGATTTTGTACCTCCTCATCTCTTGGGCTACCTGGACTGCCTTCCCCGTTTCGAACATGGTTTTCACATTCCAGGTCCCTATCCTTGTTACTGCTTTCATTGTCATATCTTTTGGTTGACTGGTTTCCATATGGCTTTCACCAGTCTGTGTCTTACAACCTCTAGGTCTCCCTGAATTGAGCATTGGATTTCTTCTGTTGCTCTGGTTTCTGTAGTGGGGAGAGGTTTTACATGATAGGATTGCTAATCCTATGCAAATCCCCCTGAACCCAGAGGACCAATGGTTTTCTGTTGGGGTTTTCCTTCCCCTAGTCACAGGTACTAGTTATTTAAAGGTGCTGGAGACTTGCCTTTTGCCACTGTCACTTAGCTACCAAAAGCATTCCAGGACCACCAACAAGGGGGGGGGGGGGGGTGGACATGTGGCTTGCTGGCAGAACCTATTTCAGATGGTAGGCATTAACTTGAGGTTTTGATAATGTAACTTAGTGATATTGGTTTCATTCCTCAAGACCTTTACCAGCCTTTTGGTACCGGTGGGTGTTTAAATTCATACAAATATAAAGTTTGTCTTCATATATTTAATGACCTTCTACATGCATTTTATTCACAGTTTTATTAATTTGCTATTTTATCTACAGCAAAAACTAAGATCTCAGGTTATTTTCCCTGTACTGAAGGTTAAGTCAAATGAGCAATTATAATATTGTTACAAGTTTTTATGCCCCTGTAATTGAAGATTCGGGGGCATATAGTTTTTGCCCTGTCCATCTGTCTGTCTGTCTGTTTGTTTGTTTGTCTGCAAAAACATTAACCTTGCCCATAAGTTTTGATTGGTTGGAGCTATGGCTTTCATATTTCACATGTGTATTTCTTGTTACAAGACCTTTCTTTGGGTACCATCACATTTGACCTTGACCTTGGAGATTCAGCTTTTGCAAAATTTTGTGAGACTTTGACCTTGGCCATATTTTTTGAACAGTTGGTGCTTGGGCTTTCAAACTTCATATGTGTAATCCTTGTGACAAGATCTTTCTTTGGATACCAACACCTTTGACCCATTGACCTTGACCTTGGAGTTTGACCTACTTTTGAAAAAAACTTTAACCTTGGCCATAACTTTTGACCAGTTGGTGCTATGGCTTTCATACTTCACATGTGTATTCCTTGTGACAAGACCTTCCTTTGGATACCAACAACTTTGACCTTTGACCTTGGAGTTTGACCTACTTTAATTTTGAAAAATTTTAACCTTGCCCATAACTTTTGATTGGTTGGAGCTGTGGCTTTCATATTTCACATGTGTATTTCTTGTGACAAGATCTCTCTTAACTACCAACATCATATTTGACCTTTCAACCTTGACCTTGGAGTTTGACCTGCTTTTGCAAAATTTTATGAGACTTTAACCTTAGACATAACTTTTGAACAATTGGTGCTTGGGCTTTCAAACTTTACATGTGTATTTATTGTTTAAGACCTTTCTTTGGATACCAATAACTTTGACCCTTTCCTTGACCTTGGAGTTTGACCTACTTTTGAAAAAAAACTTTAACCTTGGCCATAACTTTTGAACAGTTAGAGCGAGGGCTTTCATCCTTCACATGTGTATGCCTTTTGAAAAGACCTTCATTTGGATACCAACAACTTTGACCTTTTGACCTTGACCTTAGAGTTTGACCTACTTTAATTTTGAAAAAACTTAACCTTGGCCATAACTTTTTAACAGTTAGTGCTAGGGTTTTCATACTTCACACGTGTATTCCTTGTGACAAGACCTTCCTTGGATACCAACATCTTTGACCTTGACCCTTGACTCTTGAGTTTGACTTACTTTTGAAAAACTTTAACCTTGACCATAACTTTTAAACATTTGGTGCGAGGGCTTTCATACTTCACATGTGCATTCCTTGTGACAAGATCTTCCTTTGGATACCAACAACTTTGACCCTTTGACCTTGACCTTGGAGTTAGACCTACTTTGGAAAAACTTTAACCTTGGCCATAACATTCGAACGTTTGGTTCTAGGGCTTTCACATTTCATGAACATGTGTATCACTTGTGACAAGACCTTCCCTTGGGCACCATTTGACCTTGACTTTGACGTTTTACTTACTTTTAAAAAAACTTAAACCTTCGCCATAACTTTTCAACAGTTGGTGCTATGGCTTTCATATTTCACAAGTATATTCCTTGAGACAAGACCTTTCTTTGGGTACCAACATTTTTGATTTCTTGACCTGGAGTTTGACTTGCATTTGAGGAACTTTAACCTTTCCCACAAACTGTTATATGGGGACATCAGTGTTTCACAAACACATCTTGTTTTTTACTCTCTTTCCTTTCATTTAATATAACTTGCTCATTAATTTTAAAATAAAACTTTACATGAAGTTTTTGATTTGGTAGCAAATCATATTGCTAATAATATGATTAATATATTAATTCTTTGAAGGGTAACCCAATAGAAAGAGATAGAATGTACCAGACTGACATCTTGAAGGAAACCAGTATAAAAACCCTGGACAATATAGCTGTCCGTCCACTACCTAAACCCACAGTCAGTGTGAGTATATGAACTAGGGATTCCACAGAACACTCCGACAGAATAGAGTTTCTCACTAATCTATCACACATTCATTTTGTGCTACATACTAAGGAATCATTGTATTTTATGGATGGTTAGGCCTGTATTTCATTGTAATCCTTTTACTCATGAACTTTATCATAACAATGCCTTTACATATGAAATATATCCCTAGCAGTAAATTTAAAAATCAACAAAACTGATCCCACATATTAAAGTGATTCTATATTATTAGAGTAAAAAAGAATTTATTGTATACTGGTAATTACAATCTTTGTACTAGGTAGAACATGATCCCGGTGCTAGTAGACACATTCAGAACATCAACGCATTAAAAGATGCAGCCAAACAGGCATTTGAAGAACGTATGAAAGAATCCAGAGCCAAGATGGACGAGAACATCAACTTTCTACAAAGGAGGATTGTGTAGGATTTAATTTTATGTTATAGCACAATTGTTTTGGTGCATATGTATGTAAGTACATTATAGTACATTGAGGTATTTTTAAGTGTTATTTTGGGCACAAGCTTTGATATTGATCTTCAACTTGTTTTGTCTGAATGTCTACAACAGGAGTCTACAAAATGAATACTTGGATTATGAGGAAAAGTTAAAGACAGATCTGGAAGCTTGTTTGAGGTGAGGCATTCCTTGAGGACAATCCGGATCATTCCACTTCTTGGATATTATAATTAATATATCAGAATGTTTGATTATTTCTTTGTATGTTCAGATATCTGGACAATTTATCTGCCACTGAATCATCAGGAGTACACAGAGATCATATCAGAGATAGCATTGGCACACCACATGGCAAAGTCTGGCAGGTCAGTGACTGCACACTGAATAAATCTACAGCTCTTTTTTATATTACTTGTCATCACTAAAACTGGTGAAGTATTTATCCAACAACTGAAAAGAAGTGAGGGTATTAAAAAGTTTGAATTGGTTTGACAGATTTTGATACATTGACTTTTGTAGGGGAGAAAACATCACCATCACCACCATCCAAAGACAGACTACTCCAGTATCAAGGACACAGATAGGGTAGGTATATGTAGGTGTATGACATAGTGTTAATAAGACAGACTACTCCAGTATCAAGGACAAGATAGTGTAGGTGTATGACATAGCAGTAATAAGACAGACTACTCCAGTATCAAGGACACAGATAGGGTAGGTATATATAGGTGTATGACATAGTGTTAATAAGACAGACTACTCCAGTATCAAGGACACAGATAGGGTAGGTACATGTAGGTGTATGACATAGCGATAATAAGTATTATAAATCTAGGATTTTAAATGTGAATCGTTTTCATGATTTTTGTCTGGAAAGATATTCATGGATTATGTTCAGTCATCTCTTTGTTAATTCTTTGTAATATCTGAAGTTATTTAGAACAATAGCAAATTAATTAATCGTATTATATTACTGTTCATTAAATTATCATTTTACATATTTAAGTACATACGAAATGACTAAATATTTCAAGTATTATAATGTTCTAATACTTTACAACATATCTGTTTACTAAAAAAAAAATACATTCAAGTCAAATAAAGATGTGAATATCATTATCACATAGTTTGCTTTGATTCTACATTTTTACAACAAAGCCACAAACCGTGTTAGATGTTTAAGACAAATATTATGCTGTAAATTTTGAATTTTATTCCTACTGAAGTAAATTCAAAATAACATGACAGAAAGATAGACATTACATTGCTTTCATAAAGCATTGCACTCAATTCTTGACTTCGTTATTTGTGTATTTTCAGCTGCTACAGTTTGCTTCAAAAGAACTTTCACGAGAGGGCACATGACAGAGATTGTTTGCATCATCACATCACACAAGCCATTATTTCTTTCACTGAGCGCAGTAGCCACATGTTCACAAAACACTGCTTAAGAAACAGAAAGTGTTTTCCTCATTTGTCCATCACATTTATCACGTAAACCACTGAGGAACCATCATCACAGGACAGAAGCTTAATATTACATATGTAACCAGAACTAAAATATAGAATATCAAAGTTAAATAGGAAAGATAATAAAGAAGAAAAAGAATTATAGAATGTGTTTGTTGTTTTAATTATTATGATTCTTGAAAGAATTCACAGAAATTGCGCTTATACTTTTTTGTATGAGGAGAATTATAAAGACTGTATTTCACGTGATCATCGTATCATGATTCAAATTAATGATATCACCAATGCAAGTAAATGATACCAGCTATTGGAATTGATCTCTTTGAAAGGCAATGAATACTAAAATGGCACATCAAATTTTGAGATCTATACCAAACTGAAAAATGGTGTCCCCAGGGTATAGGATATGCTGATCATGCATTGAAGTGCATGGTATCTTTGATAAATCTAATTTTCATGCTTTTAAAAATTTAGGTTATAGTTGGCCAGGGCCTATATGAACCTCTTAAATTTCACATCAAAATTTCGATTTTCCAGATGTCAGAAAATCTTTTTCTGATATCAAACTATTTTGGCCTTTATGATAAGGTTATAACTGAAAAATTGGAAAACGTCACATTTAAAATTTAAATTCATACACTTAAGAAGATTTTTCTAGACTTGGAAAACTATCCAGCATCTAAAGCAAACAAAACTCTCCCAATTTCTGCTTTCCTTATTGCAATTACAAGGTCCACGTCTAATGAAGAAAATGAAAAATACCAAACTATCTTTTACAAACGTCAGCATAGATAAAATGAACCAAAACCACAACCTCCAAAGGTATAATATTATACATCTTTTAGAGTCAGAGATCACGACCGAGAAAACAGAGAAGATCAAAAGAACGTATGAAAACCGACTACTCTAGCGTCAGAGATACTGGCAGGGTAAGTACTTCTTCCAGTGACATCTGAACCGTAAGTACTTACAAAGTTCACTGGTGTTAAAGACAAAGCAAGTACTAACAGAGTGTCAACAGAATCAAAGACAACGATAAAATAAGTACTACCAGATAGCCACCAGCGTCAAAGTCACTGTTAGGTTATAAACTAATCAGAGTCATCAATCATATATCAAAGACACCCCAAAACACCGTCAGGGTAAGTTTTCTGATCAAGACACGTATGGATAAGTTCTCTGATCAGATGAACATCAGGATAAGTTTTTCACAACAGAGACCGTGGGTTAAGTTCCTAGACTTCAGAAACTTCAGGTAATTAAGTTCTATATGAGAGACAAACAGGATAGAGTCTAACGTTACATCAAAGGCACCGGCATGGTAAGTTGTCCAATGAAAGGTACCATCAGGGTAGAGTTTCTATCAAAGACACCATAAGGATAATGTGTAAAAGGTGTAGATAAAGAAAAGTGATCAGTCTCATAAACTATTTAATCAAATATACCGTCAAGGTGTGTTGTCTCATAAAAGAACCATGTGCATCAGTATGGTGTTAGGGTAAGTTCTGCATCAAACACACACACCAGGGTAAGTTCTGTCATTGAAGACACGTAAGGGTAAATCATTTCATCAAAGACATCTTCAAAGTAAATTCTACTTCAAAGATACTGTCAGGGAAAGTTTTCCAAATAAAGAAAACGTCAGCGAAAGTTTTCCCAACAAAGACACCTCAGAGCAAATTCTACATCAAAGACTGTCAGAGTAAATTCTCTCAAAATAAATACCGTCAAAGTTAATTCAACATCAAAATCTGTCAAAGTAAATCATATTACCAAAAGCACCATAAGAGTAAGTTTTCCCATCAAGGACACTGTCACAGTAAATTCTCTCATCAATGACTTTATCAGCTGGATACATTCTTTATCAGAGACACATTCAGGGTAAGTTCTCTCACCAAAGACACTGTCAGGAAAGTTTGATAATCGGAATCACCTTCAGACTAAGATCTTCCTTCATTGAATCCATCAGGATACATTTTCTCAATGAAAACTCTGCAAGGGATCAAAGATATCTTGAGGGTAAATTGATTAAAATCACCGTCAGGGAATGTTTTCTCAATAAATACAGCGTAAGGAAATGTTCTTTCCTCAAAGACATGGTCAGGGTACGTTCTTTCATCAAACACACCGTCAGGGAATGTTCTCTCATCAAAGACACCGTCATAGTACGTTCTCTCATCAAAGACACAGTCAGATGGTCTCTCATCAAATACACCGCCTGAGTACGTTCTCTTATCAAAGACACCGTCAGGAAATGTTCTCTCATCAAATACACCACCAGAGTACGTTCTCTTATAAAAGACACCGTCATAGTACGTTCTCTCATCAAAGACACCGTCAGGGAATTTATCTCAACAATTACACCGTCAGGTCACTCTTATCAAAGACACCGTCAGGGTAGGTTCTCTGATCAAAAACACAGTCAGGGAATTTTTCTCATCAATTTCACCGTCAGGTCACGTTCTTTCATTAAAGATTCCGTCAGGGAATATTCTTTCATCTAAGACACCGTCAGATTATGTTTTCACCAAAGGCACCGACATGGAAAGTTCTCTCATTAAAGACACCGTCAGAGTACGTTCTGTTATCAAAGACAGCGTCAGGATACGTTCAAAGACACCGACAGGTATGTTCTTTTATCAATGATACAGTTAGAGAAAGTTCTTTTAATAAGGACACCGCCGGGGAAAGTTAGTATTTTAAGAAAGAAACAGTCAGGGTACTTTCTTTTATCAAAGACAAGTCAGGGTACGTTCGTTCAACAAAGATAACGTTAGATTACGTTTTTCCATGAAAGACATATCAGGGTGCATTCTCTCAATAAGGTCTTCGACAGGGTACATCATCAGAGTACGTTCTATCACCAAAGACACAGTTAGGTCTAGTTCTTTAATCATAGTCACCGTAAAAGTAAGTTCTCTCATCAGCGACTCTATCAGGGTACATTCTCTTATCAGAGACACAGTCTGTTTTCTCTCTGTAATCAAAGACATCGTTAGGTAAGGTTTGTTCTATCATCTTAAAGACTGATATGGTAAGCTCTCTCATTAAAGACGGCGTCAGTTTAAGTTTTCTCATTAAAGACACCATTAAGGTAAGTTCTTATCAAAGATTATGTCAGGGTACATTCTCCATCAGTATAAGTTTTCATAAAAAACACGATCAGGGTAAACTCTCGTCAAAGACAACGTCAGGGTAAGCTCCCTTGATAAAGATACCAGTAAGATTAATTCATCAACAAAACCGTAAGGGTAAGTTAGCCGTCATGGACAGTAATGGCACCTTCAGGATAAGTTCTCTCATTAAATGCAACGCGAGGGATATGTTCTTATGAAAGACACTGAATCGTAAGCCCCCCCCCCCCCTTCAGGATAAGTTCTCTCATCAAAGACGCCGTCGGGCAATTTCTCTACCAAATAAAGCATCAAGATAAGCTTGTATATATATAGAAGAAACCACCATGATTTGTTTTCTAATTGAAAAATCAGATTACTTTTTGTTGGATTCCCTCATCAAAACCACCAAAAGATAAATTTTCTCACCAAAGACTGTTAGCATACGAGGGGTGATCAAAAGGTTCGCGAACTATCTCTATATTCACAAAACCACTATTCAGATCATAATGAAATTTGGCACACATATAGTCATAAACATGTTTTATAAATAGCAGCTGTAACGTAATGTTTTGCTCCATGTTTGTGACGTCACAATATGAAAATGACGTCAATATGTAGATGACTTGTGACAAAAAATGGCTGACTCAGTCGTACTCGAGCAACGAAAGGCTGTAAAGTTTAACGTATATCTTGGAAATTCCTTTGCAGTAGCATATAATAATTTGTACAAGGTTTATGAAGACAAAAGACTTGCAGAAGTTCAGTCATTAATTGGACTGATTGTTACAGTGAAGGAAGGGAGATGGTTGAAAATAATGTTTGTTCTGGTGCTCAGTGAAAGTAAGCTGGGGAAGAGATGTGTCCTTAGTTAAGCAATTTGTTATAAAAGGTCGCAAAGTTACAGTTAGAAGTATAGCTGAGTATCTTAAGAATATTATAATTATTACATCCCTAAAATGCAGTACACTTTAGACTTTAAACATATCAAATATGATAAAAAGAAGGCGCCCATGGGTTATCCACAATGGAAAAACGACGCACCCAAGACAGAGAAGTCGGGTTTTGATGGTCACCATGCTCATTCTGGGAAAAGTTATCCTTATCCACCCATCCTATTACCGAGATTTGGCTATTTGTGACAAATGGACTATTCTTGTTTTAAAAAATAACTTACATGGTATGAAATATAAGACTCGGAAACATCTTTTAGCCTCTGTGAACAGAGCGCTACGGAGTATGTCACGTGACCGCCTGGATCTTGTGATTCGCGCATAGGCAGAACGATGGCAGACACGCATTAAAATTGGACAGGACTACTTAAAAAAAATAATAAAACACAGAAATCTAATTTTATTTCTTTTAAGGAAGTTATTCGATTAGTTCGTGAACTTTTTGATCACCCCTCGTAAGTTGAACATTGAACTCTGTCATCATGATCCTACTTGAAATTCACCGTTATGGTAAATTCTGTATGAAATACAACGTCATTGTAAGTTCTCTCATCAGTGACACAGTCAGGGTAAGTTCTCTTATCAAAGACACCTTCAGGGAATGTTCTTCATCAAAGACACCGTCAGGGAATGTTCTCTCATTAAAGACACTCTCAGGGAAGTTTAAATATCACAGACACCGTCAGGTTAGGTTCTCTCATCAATAACTTCATCAGATTAATTTTCTCTAAAATTCTCGAAAACACTATAAGGGAATTTCTTTGTGAAAGACATCTACAGGGTAAGTTCTCTGATCAAAGTCGCTGGCAGGGTAAGTTTTACAAACTCCTTTTAAGATAAATACTACATCAGAGGCTCCGTCAAGGTAAGTACTACATCAGAGGTTCCGTCAAGGTGTTTTATATCAAAGGCTTCGTCAAAATAACTTCTCTCATCAAAGACACCGTCAGGGAACGTTATCTCAATAAGGACTTTGTCAAGGTATCCTCTTATCAAAGACGTTTTAAGGTAAATATTTCTTAAAAAGACAGTCAGGGAAAGTTCTCTCATCCAAGAGTAAAGGTCAGTTCTATAGTCATAGTCACCGTAAAAGACTATATCGGGAAACATCATCTCACCAAGACAATGTCATTGTAGTACTTTCATCAAAGAAATCGACAGGGTAGGTGTGATCACCAAAGACACTGACAGGATAATTTTTTTTATCATCCAAGACAAGTCAGGGTAAGTTCTCTTTTCAAAGAAACCGATCAGGGAAATTCTACGTAAAAGACACGGTCCGGGTACATTTTCTCAACCAAAACAGCGTGAAAATAAGTTCTATCATTAAAACATCTAACAATCAGGGTAATTTCTAGGTCTGAGTAAGTTTTCTCATAAGATTGGTTACGTTATCATCAAAGACACCGTCAAGTTAAGTTATCACGAAATGCACCATAAAAGTAAATTCTCTCTCATCAAAGACACAATTAGTTTAAGTTCTCATTAGCAATGTCAGGGTAAATTCTCCATCAGTGTATGTTTTCATCAAAGACTGGTAAGTTCTCATCAAAGACAATGTCAGGGTAATTTTCCTCGTTAAAGACACTGTCAGGGGAAATTCTCATCAAAGAACTGTAAGGTCTCCGTCAGAGTAAGTTTTCTCATCAAAGACACTGTAAGAGTGAGTTCTCTCTCAGGGTAAGTTCTCTCATCAAACATACTTTTAAATTTTTCATCAAAGCCAATGTCAGGGTAAGTTCCCTATTATGTTTTTATCAAGTTCACGATCAGGGTAAATTCTCATAAAAGATAATGTCAGGGTAATTTCATTCGTAAAGACATCGTCAGGGTAAGTTCTCATCAAACAACCGCAAGGGCAAGTTCTTCGTCAGGGTAATTTCTTTCATCAGACACACCGTTAGGATATATTTTCTCAATAAGGGCACCGTCAGTGACAGAATCAAGGTAAGTTCTTTCATCAAAGACACCGTTAGGATAAGTGCTGTTGAAAAACAACGTAAGCCAGTTAGTTCTCTTATCAAATACACCTTCAAAGATACCGTCGGGATAAATTTTTACAACAAAACTTTGTCAAGGTAAGTGCTACATTAAAGACTCCTTTTGAGTAAGTTCTCTTATCAGTGACATCGTCAGTGTTAATTCTCTCATCAAAGACAACGTCAGCGTAAGTTTTCTTTTCAAGGACACCGTCATGGTAGATTCTACATCAAATACACCGTCAAAATAAGGTCTCTCTTCAAAGACACTGTCAAGGTAACACATCGTTAGGGTAAATTCTTGTAACAAGGACACCGTCATGGTAGATTCTACATCAAATACACCGTCAAAATAAGGTCTCTCTTTAAAGACACTGTCAAGGTAACACATCGTTACGGTGAATTCTTGTAACAAGGACACTGTCAAGGTAAGTTCTTGCATCAAAGACACGTCAGGGTAATGTTCTCATTAAAGGTATTGTTAGGGTAAGTCCTATCATCAAAGAAGCCGTCAGGGTAATTTCTATATCAAAGAAACGTCAGGCTTATGTTCTTATCAAAGGCACCGTCAGTGTAAGTTCTATCACCAAAGACACTGTCAGGGTAAGGTTCTAGATCAAAGTCTTCGAGTCCAGAGGGCACCAACACATGAAGACAAAGAAGTCGAATATATGGGTTAAAAAAATACCCAAGTCTGTGTTTGATGATAGACATTTCGTTTCTTGACCAAACCAAAAGAAAATGACAAATTTATTGACTCAATTAGATACCTAGTACATGTAACTAAAGCATTGTATAATCCATTGTATGTAAATCTTCGCTAGCCATAACATTTTCGATCCGCTTTGCATCTAACAAACGTTTATTGGGAGCGGTGCTGTCGAAACCCCTTTGCATAGCAAAGATGACGAGGTAGGGTGCATAAAAAGATGTCATCCAAAACAGTCTTTCTGTGTTAAGCTTTCAGTCGACATCATCTTATCCATTTTATGAATCTAGGTGTGTACTACTGAAAAGTGAAATATGAATTTACGATGTCATTCTCAGTATGTAGATAGCTTTTACACCTCGTAAACACAGAGTTTGACATTTTTTCTGACAAATTTCCTGAACTCTTATTTGGGGATTATATTTAGTGTTTCGCTATATGATAATAACAAAATTGATGCATTTACATATTTCATCCAAAATGCACACAGAGACGGGGCACATCCACTTTCTCACTTTTAATGTGATTATGTATTGAATTTTTTGGACATGTTTTTCGCAACAATGGTACTGTATTACTTTAGAAGAATCTGATTTTCTTTCAGATGCTGTCTTATGCAGCCCATGAACTTTTTCAGGAAAACATGAAATCTAATTATTGATGATATCTATAAAACGAAATGTTTATTTACAAAAATAAAAGAAAATGAAATGACCTCATTTTCCTCTGGCTTTATGAATGTATTTCCGTTCTTTGATTACGTATCAATCAACAATTTCTTCAAATCAATTAACGTATTGACAAATAAATCGTTGCTCAACTATTTTTCTAGCTACTATAGATACAAATTCTTCAAATTAAGTTTCTTAGGAGGGGGATTAGTAGCACTAGACAGGGACATATTTATTTTCTCGCCAGTTGAGGACAGATTCTTATTTTCAACATTTTCTCTGACAGAGTGTTTATTAACAAAATAGGCCACCTCTTCTCAAAATCAAAGGGTCTTCCCCTTACCAAGATGATGTATGATTTCATAATTTTTGGTGAATGCATTTTGGAAAAAATCCACCCTTAAATATGATATTTACAATATTGAATCATTGCTAGTCTTAATCATTAGCTCATTCCTACACCTTTTAGATGAGGTAGGCATTGAAAATCAGTTTGTTATCCTAAAAGCTGCTTTACAGAGAAACTGAATCAGTTCTAAGGTTCTCGATCAGTAGACGAGTTTAGTGATCAGTTTAGTGATGAACACTAAACACAGGAAATCATTCGACCCAAAGTTAATTTAAAATCTAGTTGAACAAACACTTACGAGATTGGGTTAACATAGAAGGATGTTGATGCCGAGGAGTCAAAAGTTTAATTGTAAGGAAGTATACACTGAATGTTTTCCGCGGCTTTGGAGAAACACACGACATAAGATAATCAACAAAATTGAGTGCGGCTAGAGAGTGAATGATTTACAGAGAAAATAATATGTTTTATTTGCATATCCATCGTCAATGTTATCAAGGACATTCAATAAAAAGTTACATAAAATCTAACAAAAGCACACACACACGTAAAGAAAAAGGTTTTCCTATCAAAATGTATGCCATGAAACGAAAAAATCACAGATTTTTTTTTTGCTTCACATATTTAATGCAGATTTTTTATTTTTATTGAAATGTTTTTTTTTTAAATCGTTCGCTTCTATGGATGTAAAACACTCGTGAAAAAAAATGCTCGCCAGTGGTGCTTCTCAACAGAAAACGCGTTACCAGAAGTCGAAGGGATCGTAATAGTCTTCTTCTTGTAAGACTTGGTTGATAGCGTGGACAACTCCATTTGTCCCGACCATGTCACATTCGACAACGCTTGCGGAGCCCACGGTGAGTTGATCTCTGGACTTCTCAACAGCGATGGTCATTCCTGACACTGACCTCAAGTTTCTGGTGAATATACTAAATCTGTCACTGTACCGTTGAATTTGGGAGCAACAACGGTGTCCTAAGAAAAAAAAGCACAATGATTAATCAAAATACATATATATTCGTTACTTATAGGTATGTGTATTATAGCTACCAAAATCTTTTAACGTTTCCCTTTTTCCCACACAAGACGGTTATATATATATGTGAACTTATTTAATTATTAGAAAGAAAATCCTATAAATTTATTATATCAAACATTTAACAAATTGAATGTTTGGAGAGGTATACCCTTAATGATATGGTCTTTGATTAAACTTTGCAAGTTTTCTTTACGACTTTCCAGTTCCTTCAAATCGTTCTCTGAAACTTCTTTCAATGCCTAGGAATTGAGTAATAAATGACTTAATTCATTTTGAAGAAAATGTAAATGTTTCTATGTAAATAGTACATATTACTACTAGTACTTTAATATAAGGAAGATTAATAGGTGCTCAAACTTAAAAATCATTTTAATGAAAGATTGGAATTGTTTTCAAGGATATATAATCTAACCTCGTTTGTTGGTGCCAACACTGTGTATGGCCCTTTTCCCTGTAACTGGTCAGCTAGACCGGAGTTTTTCAACAAGCGAACGAATTCTGTGAACCGACTGTCCACTTCAAGCACATCAACAACGGTACCGACTGGTGGGACCAAAACCTGAAACATTGAAGATGAAATAAAAAAAAAATACATGTACTGTCATCTGTGGATAATCCAGTCTCGGTTGTGTATATGTGTCTGTGTGTATGTCATTCTGTCATATAAAAGAAGAGTTTTGTTATTTCATGGACGAAAGAAAAAAATGTTGCAAAAGTGATACATCCAATTAATTAACCATAGAAAAAATACCATAGATACAATGTAACTATAGTTTAATTTAGTAACAAAGTTTTACTATATTAAATCAAAGTTTTTACTATAGTTAATCAATTTTGAAACATTCTTACCATGGATTCAAAAATATAATATCTTATGTTCTCCAATTCATACATGCACATTTTTAATAATAAATGGAATCATTACTTGTATATTGAAACATTATTTTAAAATTTTACACCACTGTTATCGTATATAAGGTATTTTAAGTTTTAAAATCTCTGAAAAAGTTCTAGAGTAAAGTTTCATAGTAAATCATAGGATATAAGTTTTTATTATTATAGTTAACTTTAGTAAACTACAGTTAACTATAGCTAACTAAAGTAAATTTTAGTTAGGATTAAGTCTGAAATACCTTATAGTTATCATTGTTGAAACGCCTACAATTTTTTTTAATAAAACCTCTCAAACGAATATATTTTCTATAAAATTTTCTTCCCTGAAATACTGACATTGCTTTAGAGTCAGTGTTTGCTTTTGCGATATTCCACATATCCAATGTCACTACTTACTTTTTTCAAGCTGTGGAGAGCTTTGTAGCAATATCCCTAGAGAAAAGCCTTTTTTGATAACTAATCAATTATTTTGATATACTGAGTAAGAAAAATGAATCATTGAACAGTAAAAAATAATAATAACAAAACAGCTTACCAACCTTGTCTATGAGATGAATAACGGCGTTGCAGCTTTGGATGTTGGATTTCAAAATAGTAGCACACTGTATAGTCTCTCTATTGTACCCATGGAATGGAAACTGGTGGTATTGAAAAAAAAATATAGAGGTGGTTAAAGGGATACAAAACACAATTACATGCATATTGAATAATGATCAATTCAATTATGTGCGGCTTTCCAGATCTGAATTGTAACCAGCAGTAGCCTACATGATGCATCTTGATTTTGTCGACATTCTTTTCTTTCTCAATGAAAAGTGCAAAATGAAACTGCACAAAAGTTAATCATATAATTCTAAAAAGTAACATTTTTCTCTCTACAAAGGTATGCAAAATCATTTAATTGACAACTTTGACTTGGTTTATAGAATTCGGGGTAGATAAAAATGTATTAAGTTTTGACAACACAAATGGGGGAAAAGGGACCCGCAACGGGCAGCATCTCCTCCAAAAGGGCACATCGATCCCGATACAAAGTATTACTTGGGTAACTTCCTCAAACTTCGTTGCGATAATAATATTTCTTTAGCCTCTGATTCAGATGTATTGATAATTAACATCTGTTTTTAAAACACAGTGTACTGTACTATTGTCTTGATTAATGGCAAATTCTACAGTGACTGATTGAAAATTGCTTTATCAATGGTGGGGAAAAGATCCAAAGTTCGGTGTATAGTTTAAAGTAAATTTACCAAGAAATCTCTGTGGACAGTAAGGTTCCTTCTTGGGTTCCACGTGGGAAACTGGTACCCATCATAAGCGCGACACGTAGACGTAGTGGGTATCACGTGATAACGGAGTGCATCAGCCAGTGCTGTCTCTGACTCATTCAGTCTTTTCGCAGCAAACTCCGTCATTTTCTGTGGACGGATAATTTTATGGCAACATTACTAAATTGGTATTGTCCATGTATACATATAGTTCTAATGAAATAATAAAAACTTTAAATCGGAAAAATTAAAATTGCCTTCCACAATTATCTATAAGCTGTAAAGATATTACTGTGCCCAACCAGTACAGTATCGATCATAGCTTACTGAGAACCAGTGCAGTATCGATCATAGCTTACTGAGAACGCCTCGTCTGTTGGCACTAGTACGGTAATATTGTCAGCCGTTTCAAAAGATTTCTTGAGACCTGCTTCGACAACCAATTCCGGAAGTCTAGTAATGTTTCTTTTCTGTAGAGCATGAAGTACCCCTAAAGCTGTACATCAAAATTAAGAAGTTTCATTATAAAATCCGGAAACACTAACCACTTTAAAAAGCAACACTCATGCTACTGTACGATTAAAAGAAGGATTCGAAATATTTAATAATCATTGTCTGGACCTTCATCTGGAAGAATAACATCATCAATCAGGTGAAGCACGCCATTGGTAGCCATGACGTCACGGTCGACAATCTGAGCGTTTTCCACGAAGTACTTGTTATTCTGATCACGTGACAAACGGAGATAATTAGACAACTGATTTTTCGTTCTAGACTTGTGCTTATCCGACACAGCCGAGGAGCAAATAACATTTGGAAGAAGATGGTGGAATAAAATTTCTGGAAAAAAGAGGGAAACCATTGCAAACAGGATTCTTTACATATTGTATTGTGTAATGTTGAAAAGAAAAAGAAGCATAATCAATAACGCAACTGAAATGTCGGTTTAGTATTAGTAAGTTTAATGACTCGAATATTTTAACAAAATACTTTTTAAGCAACGTTGGTCGCTTAGAATTCTTTGTAAAAGTCCTCCATCCAGTTTCTGGAAAGCATTATCTGTTGGTGCAAAGAGGGTAAACTGTCCATCACCTCTAAGATTGACACCAAGACCACTGCGACCAATAGCTGAAAGTAAACATGCACCAAAAAATCACAAATATATTATCTTTCATAAGATACATTAAAAAAGGTAAAACACTATCTCAAAGCACAAGTATGATAGGTTCACCCTGCAGTCTTAAATATCTGTAGCTGAGCTTACGGGTTTCTCCTGCTGAAGAATGGCAGTGATATCACTACCTGTGGGCAGCTGAGCTGTGTGTTGCTGCTGCTTAAGAATGACAGTAATATCACTTACCTTTCTTTAAGTAGCTGAGCTGAGGGTTGCTGCTTACGATGTCCATCAGTGATTTAGTTACTGGCTGCAGAACATCCTCAACAACATGGATGACACCATTGGTTGCTAGATTGTCACGTGATGTGACCCGTTTACAATTGGCAGTCATGATCTGTAAATCAGACTAGTTTTAAAAATCAGGGAAACAAATTGAAACAAATATATTTGTAAGTTTCGTTTATGATAAGTATCGACTCTACTTACACCATCGTTTACCATGTCATAGAAATTGACTCTAATTGTGGAAGATTTGGAATTTGCGGAGGTTATCGTCTGCTCGTCCTCAAGTCTTGTGGTGGTCAGAATACCTCCTGTTACGTGTCCCAACACAAGATCCGAAGCATCACTGACGAGCAGGGTGCTTACAGGTGGTGAGATTCTTATGACAGAGTTCATATCCTGATAGAAAAAAATCACGTACAGAAGAAGGTGATGCATATGCAACAGAAATTTATTTTTGTCCTTTACATTTCCTGACAAGAATTATTGTACATGTAACCTTGCCAAAAATTATGATTGCTTATTCTTTCAACGCGACAGGTATTTTTGAAATGAACAATTACCATCCTTCAGACTTCTGTGAACACAATACATGAACTGTTACTGTATCGAGAACCTAGGGGAAATTTAACAGCTTACACTAAGTATGACGTTTTCGTAGGTTGGAGACAAAGTCGGGGTTTGTTTTAAAGCGTCGTTGGTTGGAGCAAACACAGTGAAATTCGCTCCAGAGCTCTCATATAGTTTACTCTCCAAACCAACACTCCTAGCGACTCTAAGGAATTCTGTCAAGTTCATAGACTCTGCTGTCTTTACGATATCGTGTAACTGACGATCTGCAGAAAGATATTTTAAAAGGGAACAAAGTAATGTTTGTAGTTTTACAACAGACTTATATGACTAGAAACCAGTACAAGTTACTCGCTAAATTCTAGATTCTTTACAAAAGTCATTTCAGTACTGATTGATCTCATAAGATTTTCTTACAAGTTGGACACCCGTATTGTCCTGAAATCCTGCTGTAACCATGGCAACATTCTTTGACCTCTCTAAGTGTTGTCTTCTTCCCATTGATCGTCATTCTTTTGTAAACAATGACAGTTTCAATATGTTAACATAGTTTTAATTCCATTTTTTTTTTCAAATGTCTTTCAAGAATGTTCATGTATCAATACAGTTTGTCATCACATATGCACATCCACGTTAACATTTTAATATGATTCCAAATATTTGTGTTTTTGAAAAAAATGAATGTGAATTTAATACAATGAAATGCACACTTATAAACATCTGATGATATTTTTTTTCTTTATATACACTAGCATGTATTCGATCTGTTGATATGTGATAAGATGGACTTACGATTTAGTACATATATAGGACGTCTTCTTGTCATCACACATGACCGTTGTCGCCATATGATGACTGCTGATATCATCTGACGTGGTTTCATTTTTGCGCTCTTCTTCCGTACAAACATTTGGACTACAACGTAAAAAAAAACCTTGACAACAGTTTTACGACTGATTAGTAGTATACGACTTTAATGTCTCTGTTTTACTGGAGGGGATGTTGATTAGAATTCATTTGAATTTTGATCATTATACGATTTAATGATTTGGTAAATCTGAGGATGCGACAGACCAGAAAATTCTCTGGAAATATCCATAATGCGAGAGTACAAATCGGATTTGTTAGGAGAACAAGAGGCCCATTGGACACAACGCTCACCTGAGTCAATATGGTCCTGCTGTTCTCTTCTCCTATATATTCATATGTAAAGCTTTGATCGCCTGTTCTAGGCATACCCTACCCCCAGGTGCCATGTTTTGAATGAAATTGAATCTAAACTTTCTGAGGATGCTTCTATATTCATTTACCTAATCATGGCTTTGCTGTTCTTGAAAACAGAATTTTAAAGATGTCTGCCACCCCACTGGGAAGGAGGGGGGCATAGGGAGGGGGTCATGATTTGAACAAACTTGAATCTACACTACCGGATGATTCCATACCAATATGACTAATTGTGACTTTAATTGTTGTTCTTGAGAAGAAGATTTTTCAAAATTTTCTTCTATATATTCCTATGTAAAACTTTGATCCCCCATTGTGGTCCCACTCTACCACCGGGGGTCATGTTTGAACAAACCTGAATCTACACTACCTTAGGATGATTCCATACCAATATGACTAATTGTGACTTTAATTGTTGTTCTTGAGAAGAAGATTTTTCAAAATTTTCTTCTATATATTCCTATGTAAAACTTTGATCCCCCATTGTGGCCCCACCCTACCCCCGGGGTCATGATTTGAACAAACTTGAATCTACACTATGTAATGAAGGTTTCACATAAGTTTCAACTTTTCTGGCCCAATGGTTCTTGGGTAGAAGATTTTTAAAAGATGACCCCAAAATTTCACCAATTCTTAATTATCTCCCCTTGGAAGTGGACGTGGCCCTTCATTTGAAGAAACTTGAACCCCTTCACCCAAGAGTGCTTTGTAGCAAGTTTGGTTGAAATTGGCCCAGTGGTTCTAGAGAAGAAGTCGAAAATATGAACAGTTTACAGACAGACGGACGGACAGACGGAATACAGACAAAATGTGATTAGAAAAGCTCACTTAAGCTTTCAGCTCAGGTATTCAGCTATTTTCAGCTATTTTAAAAAGACGTGTTTTATAAAAGATGGTTTGATTATCTCCTCCCAGCATTATGTAGTCGTGATATGACCAGTCTCAAACTTTTTAAAGAAGTGATAAATGAAAAGGAAACCATGTCTATACAAATGAAGGTCAAAAATTTGATAGTTTTAAACAATATACATATAAGTTTGCTTTACTTTACAGTCTCTTACTTGTTACATGAAATACGTGAATGATGGCTAAAAGTTCAAAGGTCAAATGATCAGAGTGTGAGGAAACTGATTGGCATTCATTACGTTGTGAATCCCAATTATGTTCATAAATGGATTTCTCTAAATAGTGAAACATAAACAAAATAGATGATCCTCGGACAGCATTGGATATTACTTATACATGATCCATCAGTAGGTCAGCTGAACGATTCTACGAAATCAGTACACCATTCTTAGATCATATAAAGTAGGTATATCTAACCGTCAATACTAATGTATTTTGATGGTGAAGGGAAAACGGTAGCTACGGAGGAAGTACACTCGCGGTGTGTCAAGTGCTCTGAATCCACTACAAACTAATCCAACCCAGAGAGGTGGACGAGTCATCGGGGAAGAATTGGAACAAGTGTTTGGCCAAAAGAATTTTCAGTGTTACATGTGAGGAGTTTTAATGATTTTAACCGACATATCATACATTTCATAAATTTAACAATGTAAATAAAATAAACATTTATCAAGAACTGCTGAAAGGATGACTGCACTTAAGGACATGCAAAATTTTCGACAAAATAAACTTTCAAAACAAGCATTTTTCTTTTCATTGCAAGAATGGTCAACTTCCAATCTACAACTTTATCTAATTACGTTTAATGAAAGTGTGTATTTACGAAGTTCGAATCTGTTTTCAAAGGCAGGGGTCATCACAATTTCTTAAATCTCTGTTCGATAATGAGGACGCCCACTTTTTTACGGACTTTATACATAGTCAGCGCATGTTTGTCTATTGTTCTACGTTTAACAGTAGTTGTATATTTGCATAAATAATAATGTGTCAAAAGGAGATTAATAGACAAACATGCGCTCATGGTTAAAAAGAGAAAAAAAATGCTTCTTCTTACATTCGCTCTCTGTGTTGTAACCAAGGATTGTGACATGTTGAATATTATAATTCACCACGTGATTTCTTACCTCAGGTAACTTTGTGAATACTAAATTCCGTCACGTGACTTGTAAGGTAGCATGTTTTGTGCTAACTAGGATATTGTGTTCGAACACGATAAGTCATCTGGCATTGATATAAAATCTGCTTTAATTATACTGACGTGCTCATATTGTTAATTTCGTTTTGAAACCTTTGTCAGAAGTGTACTAGTATTTGTGCCATACAGAATGGAGAGGGAGATTGGAAAGAGTGATCGCGTTCTTTTTCCCAAACATGTCATTGTTATTTATCAAGTCTAATTTTAGACTCATTCTTACAATGTTAGCTCCACCTCTCATGCATATCTTATGTTAAATCAAGGGGAGGTAAGTGTAAATTCACTATATTTGGAAAGCAGTAAGGACAAAAAACATTGAATCCTTTTATTGTATCACAGACTAAAATCATTTTAAGATTTAAATTTGGTTCCAAATTGACAGGATTCTTTAATAAACATACAAAAGTGAAATAAGGTTTAGATATAAAAGCAACAGAAGCAACCGAAAAAGACCCAAAAACAGGCGTTAAGTGCAGTCATCCTTTGTTCAAAGAACTGCGAACGATAGCATTGTTCTCCCGCCTACCTCCAAGTCAATTTTCAAAAGTTAACATATTTGAATGATTTTTCATATTTATATAGATATTTATATGAATTTTCATAAAACATTACTTCTTTGGGAAAACAAAGAGTGATAACTCTATAATTTGGGTAAAACTTGTGTTTTTCACTATAGAAATCAATGGAAAACGGAAAATATTTTTAAAACATCTCTCCCCCCCCCCCCCCCCCGTGAAACAAAAATTCCTTATTACAGGTAATATGGACTGTCATTTCACAAATTCATACCAGAGCTTTTTGTGTTTCACGGGGGGGGGGGGGAACATATGTTTACAGACAAAAAACTACAAAAATGCTTATTTTTTCACCAATTTCAAAGCGTTTTACAACTAAAGTATTGTATTTTATTAATAATATATGTTTGATTTTATATGCGTAAAACATAAGAAAAGATTAAAAGGAATATTTATTCAAATCCAAGAATACTTTAAAATGTGTTGATGATTTAAAGCCCGATTTCAATGGAAAATATCGTCTACCACCTTATTTTCAGAGCTGGAATTAGGGGTAGTTAACTATTTAACACTAGCATTAAAATTATCAGTCAATTACCATTGAACTGTTCTTTGCATTCAGCAAAGATTTTACGGTCAAATTGCCATTAGTATCGAATTAAATGAGTGTAAAATGTAGGCGGGAATCGAGAGTTAGCGTGCGTAGTTCTTGGTCCAAAATAAATACTATAATGCTTTAGGTTGTATTGTTAAGTTTAAGTTCTCCAAAGTATGATTTCAAGGACAAAACACATGGACATATATGCATCTTGAAGGAAGTAAACCTATACATGAACTGTAAAGCAGTACATACCCGTCCCACCAATCTCTGGATCCTCCACTTCCATAGTTAAAGGCAAAATTGATGTCAGCCCAAGGTAAACGCCATCTATATAAAAGATGGATTATATATGTTTCTTAAAATTCTCTCTTTCTCGCATGTGTCCATGAGGTTTAAAAAATTGCATTGTTAAATCAAATGTGCTTCTGAAAAATCCAGGGTTCGTAAAAAATCTAATTCTTCATTCAGAGACACGCTTATTTATTTTTCTTCAATTTAATCTATACCTTTATGCCTTTGATGTTTGATGAAGAGTTTGTTACATTATTATATGTTAGTCAATTATCATGGCGACTTTCTCTGCAAGCGGTATGGGCTTTGCACGCTGTATACCATTATCATTTGCATATGGAGTTGAGCATGTTCTATGTACGAACAATTTTTAAAACGAGGCAAGCTATTGACAAATTGATGAAACAAGAAATCAATATCAACAGTCTTGTTTAAGTCGATACAATGACCTTGTCAGCAAATACAATCTATCAATAAGTCGAATGTTGACTGATGATTTTCATTGTTGGGCTTTACTTTATTCTTTTGTTTTCTTTATATTTATTTAACTCTTTTGCCGTAAAAATTAGATATAAAGATTAATCATTACTAAGATATTTAAATGTGCTATGAACAAATACATTGTATAACATTCTAAAGATTATTATACACTGTAGGCATAAAAATACGAATTTTTGGTTCATTATCTTAAGGGGGCCGACTGGAGTTTTCATTGCGCAATACTTAGCGCAGCATAGTAAAATAAGCGTATTTACTCTTTAAAGCAACTATTTTTACATAATTTATAAAAATTAACAAATTTAGGAAATCTAAGGTTTAAAAAATCTAATAACGTTTTTAAATAACTGATTTTTTAAACAATTTTTCAAATGTTGAGTAGATAGACGTCGTAATAGCGTGTTTTTGACGTTATGAATAACCGAAGTTCTTTAAAGCGGGGTAATTAATTATGTCATAAAATAAACAGTATAAAATAGATGCTCTTGAAATTTTAAACGTAGGAAATTGAGAATCTCACAATCATTTTTATTATTTTTTATGTAAATCTGTGGTATCCGTCATGTTTTGTTGCACTCCATAAAACAGGAAAATATCACGATTTTTGACATTTTGAGATGCCCCCTCTGGAAACCAGACGATAGAATTTTGTGTTTCTTGCCAAAAATGTACAATATAAGTGTTACCCATCAAATAATATAATTTGAGCAAAAAGTAGAAAGTAGCATTTGTATAATTTGCTCCGAAGTGCGAAAAAATAGTATTTTCCTATATAATCCTATAGTAAATGTACCTGTATTTTGAGATGGTCCCTAAAAAATAACCAGACGGTAGATGTTCACTAAACTTGGCATGTATACTGAAGTCAGTGTAAGGTACATATGGTATAATTTTAAAGAGTTTCTCTATAGTAGTTTTCACACAATAAAACCCCAGTCGGCTCCCTTAAATACACACAAGCAATACTTTTCAATCTTTTCCCACACTGAATTCACTTATTAGTTGATTTTCTTACCTATGGTTCCAGCGACGTATTTGACTTCTCAGACCCCGGAGTCCATCACTGAGCCTGCGTCCGAATCTGCTACGGTGACGTCGATGACGTCTGCTTTCGATGTCGTCTGCCACCAAAAGCAAAAGGACAAAACATAACAAGAAGCAAAACCGCGACATCCCAATGAAAAGAATGTCCGACAATCTACAGTTATGGCTACTGGGTAAATAGACAGGAGGCTTAATTTAAGTGTTTACAAAATAAAACATGCAGCAAAGAATTTTCCAGATACAGATGGTAGTGCACATTAAGAAAACTGGTTTCATAAGCTGTGTTTTATAACATCAGCTCTATGAATCAGCCCATCTCAAAGGAGAGTGCAACTTTTGGGGTTTTAAGAGGAAAACAAGGATCTGATGGCCTCTTGATGTGTGTATTTACTTATGAAAGTGCTGATGGTATTATGCAAATATTTGATTATGCAAGAGAGTGTTTACGATAGGCAAAAAAAGTGAGACATACGTGCATTTATCAAAACAATTGTCAGCTTTACCAATAGATGTTTTCTCTTTTGCATTTCAAATAATATAAATACGTAATACGGAATTAAAAATTACTTCTTAGTGAAAGATATGTGAATACAATATATACATGTAATTGTTGCCACTGATTGTGAGTATTTGTGAAGGAGCGAAAAATCAGATCAACACTATGCAATTCTATTGTGCACTCTATGAATACTAAGTATAATATTAACCATTTCCCCTCCTCTTATAAAGCACAGTTGTGATACTGAGTTTTATTTTTTCCCTTTGGGAAGAAATACCTATTATTAGACCAGAATAAATAAGAAATACAAGTATGACACGGATGTCATGCTCTAATCCAAAGTTAATTGCTTCAAATTTCAAGGACCGTTTTTCCTCTCAAAGTAAGCAATAAGAGAGGAATTTAAAACTCACGTTGGATCTGTAACTAATTATATGTATGTCATCACCTTTTACATGTATCGAAGTGGTTTATGCTTAGAAAGTGAAACGAACGTATATATTACGAATATTATGTCTAATTTTTAAAATGATTCTATGGTACAGAATTTGAGAATATGGAAGTCATTTGGGGAACACCTGTAACAGTCCTCGTTACAATTAGTACTGGGTAAAAGTTCATCATCAGTATTTTGGCAGGGATATACCAAATGTGATTCTTTAGATTACTCAAAATTACATAAGCTGAATAAGTTTCTCTTCCAGTCACACAACTTTAACCTGTAACTCCACTAGAATTATTACCAGCAAACCGACGGAAGTTTCAAGTCTCGGCAATGCTGAAACAAGTGAATGGACATCTTCAACCACTGAAGTGTACAATCAAAAATGAATGCATATGTACAATTTTCATGGTTTCCGACTTTTGTCAACATTCAATCCCAAAATGACGTTTATGTATGAGGTATGAACAATTTAACCTTCAAAGTCTCACACGAAATATGGAGATAACGAACAGTAATCAAGCTCAAAATTCCATTGAAACAATACAAATCGGGAGCAGAGCAAACAAGGACCTTTAAAAAACATCAGAGGTGGGATCAGGTACCATGGAGGAGTAAGCACCACCTGTCGACCGGTCACACCTGCCGTGTGCTCATCGTCATGATCGGGAAAAATCCGTAGACAATTCAGTGTTTAGAAAATGACCTAACAATTAGTATGAAAAACGTCAGTCAGCATTCGACACAATGATAGATTTTATTTGCTGATAAGATCATTGTATCGACAATAGAACTTGCGAAACGACTTCAAACGAGACTGTTGTTATCCTTGTTGCATCAACTTGTTTGTCAATAGCTTGCCTCGTTTTAAAAATTCTTCACACTTGGAGCACGCTCTTGCGTATCGCATCAGCTGGAAGATATAAACCCTATTATGCAGGTGATAAGGTACTACATAAGTAAGGGAAGTTGGTGATAGAAGTTGAAGTCATCACGTTTATCATAAAGTTTTGTTGTTAGGTTACCATTAACGTCTTTTCCTAGTAAAATATCCAAATATGAAACATCTGTGGTATCTTTTATTAAAAGTTCACTAGGATATATCGAGTCGACATATGAATTAAAGTAAATATTGTTAATAGATAATATCTAAATGTCGAGTTCAAGGCCAAAATACGTGTGATCTTCTTCTCATGTATAAGTTTTAGAATAAATTCTGCTTCATATGAATACAAAAATAGATCTGCTAATAACGGGGCGCAATATTCTATTAAGTGGGGCTGAATCCTATGATGATAGTGGATATCCAAAAGATATTCATAAATTTTTCTTGATCTGTTTTGATTATAACGATCAGTCTGTTCTGATTATAACGATCAGTCTGTTATAACGATCAGTCTATTAAAAACGTTCAGTCTGTTATAACGATCATTCTCTTCTGTTAATGTATAAATGCACTGCCGATTGTATGCATAAGAAGAATGGGATTAAAAAGAAGACTGCATGGAGTACCAAAGAGACTGGGGTAGGATAAGTGTTGGATATACTCTCACTGGGACATTGTCACTGGCGGATTTAAGGGGGGGCGTGGGGGGCGCACGCCCCCCCTAAAATTTTCAAAGTATGATATGACTAATATTAATAATGCCATACTTTGGTATATAACTAACCAATACCACTATTTTTGTGCCTGGTTTTACTCTTAAAATACACGAAAACCCAGAAGCTTCCGGGGGCTTCGCCCCCTGGGCCCCCACCAGGGCTTCGCCCTGGACCCACTGGGGGCCTTAAGGCGGCCCCCAGAACCCCTGCCTAAATGAAGTTATCCACGCCCCCCCTAATCACAAATCCTGTATCCGCCCATGATTGTGTGTACAGTAACGGACAGTAACGGCCACTCTATTGTATGACTTAGGGCTGTGTATTGAGCAAAATATTTCGATACGATACGATACGATATTTTATAAAGCGATATGCAATATATTGGATTATTTATCAAGTCTTTCAAAAATATCTTGTAAATGACATTTAATGCATATATTTGATAAAAAATGGGTGAGTCTAATATAACATGTTAAAATATAGTTGTCTATGTATTTTGTAATAGTTATTTAAGATGTGCTATCTCCTTCATGTTTATTTCATCATTGACCAGTTTTAATTCAAAACAGTTAAAAATAATCTTTGGTAACTGAAATTCCCAGCTTTTATACAGAATTATAAGGAAAACTGCCTGTCCGATACGTATTGGAAATTATTTTTTCGATACTATACATTCCTGAATATCGATACGTATTGAATATTCGATATATTAACACAGCCCTATTGTATGTATTTGGATTCTTGTTGTAAGTTTATACTACATTAATGTAAATAATTTGTTGTTAAGTTTAAACTGTGTGATTAATTTTTGCTGGCATTTCGGGTTATTAAATTCTGTCCCATAAAAGCTTAAGATATTGAGTTGATTTTTGGTATGTGAGTGAATCTTGATGCATTACAGATCAAGTATGCATTTCAATCCGCTTTGATGACTTTTGGTGGAAATATGGCCTTTTTGATTTCTGCACGTCGTGTGATTTTTTACGGAGTTGCGACTTTTTAAATTTTTTTAGGGGAACTAGATTACACATGCCGGTGGAGGACCAGTATTACTAATGCAATGCTCTTAGAATGCTTGTTTTTGGTCTTTTTTCTCTCTATCTAGTTCTTCCATTTTTTTTTGTTCTGCTGATGTATATTTGTTTATGCACTTATCAACATTTGCCAATCCCTTCAATTAATTATTGCTTCTAAACACTTGTAACTCTTGATCCTCTTGAAGAGAACTTATGTTAGGCAAAGCCTGATGTCCAAGCAATTTATATGTTATCATTCTTACATGATAAAATATTGATTAAATTAAATTTTTATTATATCAAAATGTACGCTTTTTTTGTATTTCAAGGTATTCTCCTAAAAAAATAATGAACACACACGTGTGAATAATATTTAAACTTTGGTTCGTTTACATGCTCATTCATACATATCAACTGAACTCATTATGATGAAAGTAAATTAAGCTTCGTAGTACGTTATTACATATAATTGACTTTCAAAATGAATATAGATATGACATTAATTAAATTTGTTATTTAGGTTAATCACGATCAATTTAAAATACAGTTTACGAAGCTTAACTAGGGTTTTTCGCAAGTAGGATTAATGAACGAACCCTTTGCTAACTATAGTAACCAGACTCTATAGTTTTGCATATAAATGCACAAAATAGATTTTATTGTCATTTTATGTTTTTTTAAAAAGTAAAACAGTTAAATAGTGTTTATCGATTCTCGTGAATTTGGAATCTTGTAAAGCTGTAAACCATATTTTAGAGTAGTAACTATGATTCACAAACGTTAACTGCAGTTTAGAGTTGATAACCATAGTAAAACTGTATTTCACAGATTAAACCATGTTCCGCTCTTGTAAATTATATAGTTTTCACTGTTAGGCATATTTTACACAAGTTTGTGAAACAGGAATTTAGTCGAAAACTATTTGGAGCAATGTTTCAGCCCCTTAAAGTATAGTTTACGATTAATAAATCTAGTTTTCCATACGAAAATCTGGATCTCGCTGTGGCGTGACAAATACTACTCATATATATTTGACATTTTTAATATCATTTTAAACAGCAGTTGGAATTTGGTCACTATCTCTGATAGCCCGACTCAGCGAGAAATAAATTAGTCTACAAATCTTACTAGGTTTCCAGTTTTCATTTCGAACAGTTCACCCTGTACATCTACAAGTATCTCCCGGACGACAATTTTAAAATATTGGTAAAAATCCAAATTGTTACATGTAACTCATTCTGTCTACTGTAAAATCATTTAAAGTTTCAATATTAAAATTATCAGTTTCCTGGTCTTTGTAAGACATGAATCGAGCCAACAGAGGAATCTAAAAATTATAAGATATTCTTATCAGTTTTAATTTTTTTTAATAACATGAACAAACTTACTTTACACAGATTTAAAAGAAAATACAGGGTTTACTCTAAAATTACAAGCGATTCTGTTGTCACTTCGGGAAGTTCTTCATAAATAGATTCTGTTACTTCATCTGTGAAATCTTCGTCGCTATCATCGAAATCATCATCGTCAACATCCTCAGTTAAGTCGTCGTCTTTATCGTCAGACACATCAGATGTATCGACATCGGGGATATCTTCCTCTGGTGGCATGATCATCGTGAAGGTCGATTCTAGGCCTTCCTTCTTGATCAGCTCCCGGAGCTTCTCTAGTTGCTCGGTCTGCAGACAGAAACAGGAAGGTCTCTTATGCATCCACTTCTTCATTTTCTTTATTTTTCTCCATTTCTGACGTTTCTGTCCTCTGTTTCCTTTGCTGGCGTTCCATCGTCGCCTGTGGGTCATTGAATGATTATCCTCGTAACTGTTCTGTACCTCGTCTGTCTTATCTTCGTCTGAATCATCCGTTGTCATCATACCACGACGTTTCTTCATCCACTTCATTTTCCTTTGGCGCTTCCTATTCCATTTTCTCTGTTTCTTTGACATCCAATCGTTTTTATATACCGATTCGTCGTCATCGTCCTTGATGTCATCATCAGTCGCCATTATAGGATCTCTGAAAAAAAAAGAAACATTTCTTTGATAACTTGATTATTTAAACATTTTTAAAGACGTGTTAAACAAATGAATAGACGAAAATCAAACAGAAAATACATTAAATGATTTTTAAAATCTTACAAAGTACTTTAGCCCAAATTTTTCATTAAATCTGATAGATCTTTAATCGGAGTGTAAAGGGTATAAAAATGTATGATTATTGTTTCAGAGTATTGGTCATTATAAAGGTACTGGATCTTGATTTTTGGACAGAACATTCAGTACAAAATTCGAGTTACTCGTACATGATTTTCGTAGTTTGCACGTTTTACAGTCTTATTTTATTTCAGTGGTTGCTATATGTACAAAACAAAAACAAAACAAAACAAAAAAAACAAAAAACAAAAACAAACAAACAAAGACTTTACAAGAAAAATCTCATTAGATTTGACCCCTATTCGTCGAACACATGCATTGCAGGTTGTTAAAAAATGGTTTCATGATTTTACATATCAGTATTTATAGTCGAATGTTCACTATTTACACGTTTCAAACAGAGACGAACTACATAAATGCTGCGACCACGCCACTGTGGTACTTGAAACTTTAATTTAAAATAAATATTTCGATTTTGATCGGTGACATGACCAAATTTGAATTAGTTTAATTTAGGGGACAACCTTTTGATTCGGGGAGGGAGGGGTGGCATATATTTTGGGGACAGATTATTTATTTTCATGACAGTTAAGGACAGATTATTTATTTTCATGGCAGTATAGGACAGATTATTTATTCCAAGATCAAGATGATCAGGGGGGGACAGATTATTCATTTTCTTCCCTGAAAAAAAGTTTGAAAAGCAAAAAAACCAAAAAAAAAAAAAAAAACCACAAAAAAAAACCAAACAAACAAAAAAAAAAAAAAAAAAAAAAAAAAAAAAAAAATACAAAACAAAACAAAACAAAACAAAAAAATCAAACAAACGAACTCTAACACTATATTTTAATGGGGGCGGGGGAGGGATGCAGATTCTTTATTTTTCTTACCAATTGAGAACAGATTATTTATTTTCATTATTTTCGAGGACAGTTTATTTCCACCATCTGCCCTTATCTATCAAAATACATGCAGAGCAACAGTGTACATGTATCATTGTATTTTGCCGAAAGAGATCTCAGACCCTCTCACTTTTGACCACCGATAATTTATATTTAGGAACTAGAAACCAAAAATCTGGTAGACTTACCCGTGCCTTCCAGACTGTAGTGCGGCGAACTTCTGTCTTCGCCATTCTCGTCCCCTACCCCCACGCCGAGCTTCCAGAACACTGACCACGGCCAGCACCAGCAGGAGAGACAACCAAAGTTTCATCTTGATTCCTGAGTTCTGCTGTACCGTCTGAATGACTTCTATTTATACTAAGACTGATCCGAAACAGTTTACGCAGTTTTGATCCCCATCACGCGGGGTTGTTTTTAGGAAATTGTTTACATCCTGAGTATTTTGAGTGTTTCCTCCCAGCTGTTCCAGTTTTTGCCCTCCTCTTTACTGACCATTGTCTGTGAACGCCCTGTTGATGTTTTTGAGCGTGCCTGTTTTGAATTATGATACAGAGAAGCACGGGGGAGTTTTATTGATGTTGGTGCAGATGACCTTCTGACTATGAGGAATTTTGTTTTTGCTTCTGAGGCTGTTTTTCATATTTCCATTTTGCTAGAATTACAAAGACCTGGTGACTCATTGACCAAATGTGTCAAATCAAGCTGCTTACAATCATACCAGTACATTTTATCTTATTGCTAAGAAATACTTTTTGATATGCGAATCTTGGTTTTCATTGAGGTACAATTACTTTGCTTAAAGGTAAAACACCCCCCCCCCCAAAAAAAAAAACCCTTAAATGAATTGCGAAACTGCAAAAGAAGTATAGAAAAAGACATGTATCATGTTGTAAATTTTGAGTTTATTGGGTGGAAGTTGGATGAAAAATTAGTTTTCATGTTGTAAATATTTTGCATTTACCTCCACCCAGTAAATTCAAAATGAAGATGCAAACATAAGTATTTTAAATCTTTGGATTTTCAGTTTAATTTAATATATGGAATCAATTTTTGTATCTGATTAACTTGCTCATATCAAATTCGTAGATTAATATTAAAATCAAATGATCATTTTTTTTGCCCCCCCCCCTCTTTTTTTTTTTGATTGTCTAATTTTTGATTACGTCTGTCTAACTGTTCGTCTGTTACCTTTACACATTTTCAACTTGTCCAAAACTTAGCACAGGGTATTCTGGGGGTAAAGGGGATTCTAAATTGTTCAGATGAAGGGTCGTCCCTTTTCAAAGGGGAAATAATTGAGAAAAGGCAAAAAAATTAGGATGGGGTCTTTAAAAATCTTCATAAGAACCACGGAGCCAAAAAAGATTAATCTTATGTGAAAGCTTCATAAGATAGTGTAGATTCTAAATTGTTTAATTCATAACCCCAACAGTTGGGGATGAAATTCTTTTTAAACTGGAATAGTTTATGTATCCTCTTCACTTCTGGAGGGGCCTAGGGCTGCCACATCTCTCCATCAGTCTCTGTCTTGGACTGCTTATTTAGCCCATCCCCAAGGCATCCGGATTAATCTTAATTATGTAATTGGAATATATGGGGAATAAATCTTTAAAAGTCTCTATCTTAAGAACAGCAGGGTCATTTATCTGTATGCAAGCATCCTAAGTAGAGTGCAGATTAAAATTCGATCCTTTAAATCATAATCTCAGGGATTAGGTTGGGACCACAATAGGAGATCATCAAATCACACGTGATCACATGGGAGTATGTAGAAAAAAAGCTGTCTAGGGCAGCATGGTTAGGTTAGTCAAATTGATGTCGTAGCATCCATGTGTTTTATGGATTCAGTTAATTTGGTTATGTCATGACCCCTTGAGGTTAGGGTAGGAATACAATATTGGGTCAAAATTATTCAATAAAATAAGGAAAATAAATCTTTCATATTACTTTTGATTCATCAATATGTAACAGCATATGAAATATGATAAAAAATATCCTGAATATTTTCTTTGAAACGGAGCTAAATGCAAAGTGTGACAGACAAACAGAGAGAAAGACAGAAATTGAAGGATGACAGATGGACATGTCAAACACTATAAGCCCAGGCCATATTCTTAGCGAGGCTTTTTTTTTAAACAAAACAATTTACATACAAAAGCTAAAAAAGATCTTTGTTCAATAAATAAACAATGGATTGACTCAGTACTTTTCCTATTTCTAATTTCATTTTGTTCATCCACATTTTGTCTGCCAAGTTTCATATGCAGCACATGTATCACTGAGTACATGTCATTCAGGAAAAGATGACTTTATTGTGAATTTTTAAAATAATTTATCCAGCCTGTTGTAATTCATGTGATTATGTGTACTGTTATTGCTCTAATTCATGACCAGATTCCTCTTACTGTTTCTTTAAGTGTCTGAGAGGTTGATTGTAAGTACATTCATCCGAGTATCTCAAGTGAAATCACAAGACACAGATCTGACACATTTAATGATTCAAGTCCTCATGTGATTAAGATTATAATTCTCTCCAAATATAAAAACAATCCAGATGAAGCACTGTTTCTAAGAACCACCTTTAGAAAACAAATCTGTTTTCACCTTGAATTTGAATTTGTAAAAGTTCAGATCAATTATTTTCCTTTCTACATCATTAATTGCAAGAAGTTGAGCAAAAAATGCAGATCTCTAAACTTTTTTTTTCTGTTGGTAAATCCACACATATATCATCAAAAGAACAGAAGTCCTTTCTTTGGGTTGCTTGTTTTGAAAGTATAGCTTGGTATTAGATCAAATTCTTTGAAATTTCTAGTTTTAAAGTCTCAACTATTGTCTGTAGATTTTAAACCAATTCCTTCACATTTAATGATAGTAGAATTCTTTGTCAATTTTTGCACTTCAAATTTTGCCTGTAATAAAAGAAATATATATTTATCATATATTCCCTTGATTTTGTTCCAATGTAAATTAAAAATATATATATTTTTCATTTCTAATAATAGTGTATAAATTTTCAGACTTTTGCACTGTAAGTGCAAATTTTGATTTTCACTGATAAATCATTTAAACATTCCCCTTCCCCCAAAACCCTACAATATTGCAACAAAATAATAGACTCTTGCCTTTGTCATCAATGACGCCACATGTATGGCGGTTTCAGTGTGCAGGGATAAAGGGCCACACAGGATTTCTGACTTCCCTTCAGCTACTGCCATCAGGACTATCAGCTAATGTAAAAAAAATCTTAAAATAGATCTCTGCTTAAATTATAATTTAGGAAATAAAGTTAAATGATTTTAACAAAAGCAAAAATTAGGGATGGCAACAATTAACTGACTAATTAATTGGTAGGAAAGATTGTAATCAGTTACAATATTCTCATAACCAGTCAGTTGATATATAGTGCTTGTAGTATACAATTTTTCAAAAATATTTCCATCTTTTTAAATTAAAACTCTTTTGTAGTATGTTTACAACTGAAATGCGGCAAATGTTCAAAAATGCTGTCAAAACATGTCCTGGCAATTTCATTTTTGTAACCCTGCATACTAAATCAAAGTTAACGTACCCATACAAAAAATTCTATCTGCTTTTGTTCCAATTGATGCATTAAATCAACAACTAATTTTCTACTCATCAATGTTTAACTGGGTAATTGTTCTTGTTTATTAAATCACTGCAAAACTTTGCTATATTTTCAGTGAAATGTCATCAATATCGACAGATTGGCAATGTTTATAGAGTCTGGGACAGCAGATGGTACAAAAACACACAAGACCAAGCAATCATAATTCAAAATAAAACAACAATAAAAAACAGAATATGAAGAATTTGTTTCATACAGTACACTAAGTCTAGTTCACTGTGTGTTGTTGAATAGTAAACTAGTTTATGTCCGTGATCAGGAACCCCCTTTCAGTGGTGACATAATAATAGCGCAAAATTTCCTCTTTTAAAAAAAATTTTATCAGTAAAGTATCTTTCAATTCTAGGAACATCTATGCCATCACAGTAATTTCTTGAGAATAAGATACGAAGTTGCCAGTTTTTAAAATAAAATTACATTTTTATCTACTTGGTTTACTGGTTACTCGGTCTGAAAAATTTACAACCAGTTACAAAAAATCATCCAATTGCCATCCCTAGTAAAAACAAGTTTTTTTTTTCTTATGTTCAATATTATTTCAGTTTAAATTGCTAAGATGCTAAGGTATTATAAAAATAATATGATTTAAGACAAATATGAATTTCAGTCTGACCTGATCTTGTAGAAACTCATCCACACAGCCGCCATTAAACAAGTTGTTAATCAGCATGTCCCCCGCCTCCTGTCCGACCCTCTCAGCAGGCTTACCTATTGAGGATACAAAACACAGAATCATACACAATTCTTTTTATTCATAAAAAATAATTTGAAATTCATTTAACCTTTTAGTCTTATTTCTACCTTTCTTCCCCAGAGCTGATCCTGCCAGCAAACAGCCAGTGCTTGTTTCTGCCACAACTCTACAATCGGTCAGTTATGGGTTAGTAATGGGTCAGTAATTACTAAACAGAATTGATATCATACAAAATGAAATGTTTTATGAACAAGAGGTTATGGTATTCAAATAAACTTTGTGATGAATGACACTGCCCACTCATTTTTCTACACTTACATAATCCCACACCCGACCCCGATTCCCTCAGTTTCTTTATGCACTTCTATCTGGATGGGGACCCCTCGATAGTGTTCTTTGATGACACCTGTAGCACACTCGGCCATAATGTGAGCTACCTACAAAAGCACAATAAATATTAAAGATATTGCATCTTAACAAGTGATAAGAGCATATCATGTATGGCAGAAATGAAGGGAGGTAAATCTTCATATAGAATATTAATATGAACGGGGTAGAGTTGTCTACCAATGCTTGGCTATCTTGAACCTAAGGAGTTTCATGTTATATTTAATAAGAAAACCCAGATCCAATTTAAAAAACAAAATGTTGTGTACACTGCTGTATAAAAATCAAACACTTGAAAATTCTTACTAAACATTTTACATTTAATATAGTGTATGTTCCTTGGTAACCTATGGTATTTTAATTTTTTTTTTCTCATGATAAAGTCTTCAATTTTGGCATTATCAGCCAAGAGGAATCAAAAACCTAGACTATAAAAGTCACTAAGTCCAGATAAAACACACTCCTAAAGGTCCATGTACATGTAATAGTTCTAGAATTTGGATCTGTGAACGAGGAACCTTTTCAGTTCAAAATTTAGACACATTTATGTTTTAATGAAATATGCAATTAAAAAGGCAGATTTCTGATGTGAAAACTTAACATGAACAGTGAATGTTGAGGTTTATATTTACTGAATAATTTATTATCCATACCTTTTTAGGCAGCACCCCTGCCACAAATGATAGGCCAAATATTCTGGTGACCGAGCCCTGTTCTGTCATTGTGATTCCTCGTAGACCAGGACTGGGGGACACCTTAACATGAACCTCTCCTCCTCCTTTTGGGAAGAAACCCCTACAATTCAAAGAAACATTATCTTTCCTAAAATATCTGTATAAAAGCTTTAAATGTTAGAAATGATGGGATATAAATATATGTGTGCCTTTTAATATCATCTCAATTTCATGTGATTTTTAAAGTATAACACATCATTTTGTAGCTGCAGCTAATCATTTTGATATTTATCAGGTAATTTCTGATAGACAGCTGACGACATGGATGTAAACCTAATTTTATGTTTCTTAGATTTATTTTGAGAAAAACTAATGTCCAGCATTAAAAAATTGACCTACAAATTTTGAAGAAAGATTTGTAGCTCTAGTGATACCAAAAGTTAAAAAAAATTGTGCAACTTTATTATTTTGACTAACCTTCTCTTAATTTCACCTTCAAAATGGAGTCCAAAACGTGCAGCAATAGGACGAAATACCTGCAATACAAGCAGAATAAAATGCAGCAAATAAACAGAGTGGTTGTTTCATCTAGGTTCCCTCTCCTTTTTATTTCCATACCTGTAAATATTGAGCCTTAGGAATCCTGAAATTACAGAATGGTGGACAATGATAAAAATATATGCTCCCTGAACCCCACCACTACTACATACATATTTGTATTGAAGAAAAAAAATTCTGTTAAGTAGAAGTTTAGCTTGTTCAAACCAAGGTCCCACACTTAAAGGGATAAAGGCATTTATCAGGTCCACAAAGTTTAAAGTTACAACCAAGGTTAATGTTTTTGTGACAGACAGACAGCTAGAAGATGAATGCGATTTAATGTTCCCTGGCTTTTTTGAAAGCAGGGGACAAAAAGCCACCTTAACATGCAATTAATGCCTTATGGTGTAAAATACATGGTTACATAAACAATTTACTCAGTGTAGGATGTTTACCATTAGAATATAGTCAATTTGTGGAGCCATTTCAGCATTGGTTCCACCAATCAAGGACATATGTACTTCTCCATCACTGAAGAAACAGCAGGGCACAGCTGCCTGCATCAATAAACATATACTCCTACAAACAGAAAAATATTTCACTTCATTCATAATACGCTGAATTCTTAAATAAAAACATCATCATGTAAAAAATATATTTATCTAACTTATATTTAATCATTATAAATAATGATATGCTTCCATTACCCAGTGAATCAATGTAAATTTACATACACTTATAAATTGTTTTCTCTTTGTTAAGAACTACGCATGCTAACTCTCGATTCCTTCTTACATTTTACACCCATTTAATTCAATACTAATGGCAATTTGTCCATAAAATCTTTATTGAATGCAAAGAAGAGTTCAATGGTAATTGATTATTAATTTTAGTACCAGTGTTAAATAGTTAATTACTCTTAATTCCAGCTCTTTTTATAAGGGGGGTAGACGATTTTTCCCATTGAAATCAGGCTTGAAAGATCAGCATATTTTAAAATATTCTTGGATATGGATAAATGTTCTTCGAATCTTTCCCTATGTTTCACGCATATAAAATTAAACATATGTAATTAATAAAATACAACGTTTAAGTTGTAAACCCCTTCGAAATTGGTGAAAAAATGAGCATTTTTATCGTTTTTTGACTGTAAACATATGTCCCCCCCACCCCCCACCCAGCCCCACCCCGTGAAACACAAAAAGCTTTGGTATAAATTTGTGAAATAACAATCCATATTACCTGTAAAAATGAATTTTTGTTCTACTGGGGGGAAAGACGTTTTAAAAATATTTTCCGGTTTCCATTGATTTCTATAGTGAAAAACACCAAAATTATAGAGTTATCTTTCATTGTTTTCCCAAATAAGTAATGTTTTATAAAAATTCATATAAATATCTATAAAGATAAGAAAAATTATTCAAATATGTTAACTTTTGAAAATTGACTTGGAGGTAGGCGGGAGAGCAATACTATTATTCACAGTTCTTTAGTATTTGCTTGCTTATTTTCATTGAAAGTTCAAAAATGTATCATACATAGAATATGAGATTAAAACTTTTGGGTTATCTAGTGTTTGTTTGCCCACTTCCAACTGGGTTGGTAGGTAGGTAGGTAAATTTTTTTCATAAATTTTTAACATCAATGCTGAAGTTTCAAAATTCATTGAAATTGAAGGTATTAATAAAATTGAAATAGTTAATGGGATGAGAAAATTCCAGAATAAAAAAAATTGTTTCCTCAAGGTTTAAAAAAGTTTTGAGTTGAGCCATTTATTGTCAGTTGGACAGTAAAGTGCGAATAGACAATTTTTTAAAGATGGCCATGCCTACCCAGCAGTTTTGGTGTCAGCTTTATATGCCCCAGCCTTGACCTTCCCAGGTATAAAGGTCACTTCTGTTGACCCCACAGCACCATTTTCCAGCTTTCCTCCACATATTTCTGAGACTAGTTGTAGTCCAGTGAGGTGTTGAGCTCTAGAAAAATAAAATCTTTCTCTTTATTGTCATCAATATTATATAACGGTACATGCATGTCGTACATGGAAGTTTTTGAAAATTATATATTACTGTCAAATATACATGTACACGTCTTGTCATAAAACATATCCAATCTTAACTGTAACTATCAATCAACATTTCTAAGACATTGTACATAGATGACACTCTTCATTTAAGACATCATCACATAATTTATTTTGTTTTCCAAGAGCCAAGAAACCCAGAAAATAATTTCTTCTGAAATCTTAAAATCTTGCAAAATTCACACAAAATCTTCCTGGCTCACTGTCACATGGGGGCCAGATGCACTGGGTCCCTGCTGATTGACAGTAATGCAGAAAGGGGGATATGTAAGATGCACACAATGAAAATGCAGTGCCAATTGAGACATGAAATATTAGCTACAAATGGCTGGATCTAGAGTGACTTTATAGGGCAATGGATGTGACTGAAATGATACAATAATAATAGCGAGCGCAGCTTGTCACTGCAAGCTCTTAAAGCAATGCCTGGGCGAAGAGAAAATTAGGACTGTGCACATTGATCAAAATGAATTTCTTTCCACAGTAACCTGTGGTCCTATAATGCTTTGCGAATTGCATTTCGCCGCAAACAACGTTCTTGCGGTAACAAGAGGTTCCAAGAAAAAATTTACTCAACTTGATTTGATGGATATATAGCAGATAAATAGTAGATTAAACTTTCTTTATTAAAATTAGCACTGTTCAAACTTTGTTTTGGTAATGCAACTTACAAGCGACGTCATGTGACGTCAGAGTCTAGACGTACTAAATGTCATGTGCGGTTTGAAGAGCCCGATCTAAATAAAACTGAATATAGGTATCTGCGCTTGCCCTAACGGTCGCACTGTCAACATATTACAGACAAATTCCAGACATTTAGTAGAAATTTGTAGACAAGAGGGTAAAGTAGTATCTACATTTAAACATGGACCTCACATAAAATAAACTAAAGCAGTCTGCTAAGCAGGTGCTCTGTCAATGTATCTCCCAAAATTCCTTTAGTACCTGAGTCCAGGTTTATCTCTTCCTGCCCTTATTTTCTGAACACGAATGGGCTGATTGAGTAAACAGCTCAATGTTGCAGCATTCCTTAAAATTTGTCCACCCTAAAAAAAATTGAGTGTCATTTGTGAATTCTTAAATGTAATAGCTACACACATAAATGCATTTATAATGATTCGTTAATATAAAAAAAAAATCATTCCATTTTACATAAAATGTTAATTTTTTGCTATTGTAGTACCAGGAATATTGAACAGTTTTATTAGCAATTATAATTAGTTTTTCTCGTAGTTTTATTAGCATAATTAGGTATATTTTACCGGAAGCTTACCAATTTCAATGTTTATTTTAATACATATACTCATTGCTAGACCTAACAAACAAATAAGATTTTCTACATGTTGGACAATGCCACTACGATAAGAAATCAGTTCTCAATGTATTAAAATGGAGCGCGACTCTTACCCCCTCTAGTACACTGCCATCAATATCTAAAAATTCATGCCGAACACTCGATGCCATCCTGGGGAATTGTGATTTACATGTGTATGTATATTGCACAACACTGACAAATCGAAAGTGAAAATAACGCATCAGGTCCCATTGCAAATCGTCGGGATCGAGATACACGATTCTATTTTCGTTTTCATTATTTACACAACTTTGCTGCGTTTGCAACATCAAATCATATTGATATTCCAATGAAAAAAGCAATATTGCAGTCTTAGTTTATTTAGATGTCAAGGAAACGAAAGGAATATGGAAAATGATGAACCTGTGTGTCTGGCAACTGATGTTCTTCAAGCACATGAGAGGTTACATCTGAATCTGAAACGGAGTCACAGACACACAGATGGTGGGTTTACTTTCTTTCTTTTTCTTCTTCTTTTTTTGTATCTCACTGGATCAAAGATTTGATCAAAATTTGTTCATTGTCGGTCTGCATGTCGCCTGTCTTCTAACTTTTTAACGTGAACATGTGAACCAATTTTAACCAAGCTACAAGAGGATTCAAGTTTGTCCAAAAGATGACCGTTCCTTTCATACAGTCATAGTCTATAAATGAGGAAGTTTTTAAAAATCTTCTCAGATAATGTATGTGCATAAAAGTTAGGCCCTATATATTTACACTTGCTGTATTTTTCTAATAAGCCAACTGTAAACAGGGATGGGGTAATCGTAATCGAGTAATCATAATCGATTGTAATGATTACTTTTTTTCAAGTAAGCGACAGTAATCTGTAATTGAAGAGATTTTCCATTACTTGTAATCGTAATTTAATCGATTACAGTTAAAATTTTCAATGTAATTATAACTTTTTCGATTACTTTCGATTATTTTATACATAAATTGATGTTATTTTGGGGAATTATTTCCAGTCAGTCACACATAGATATCAATATAATTTGGTAAATAAACTGCATTGTACTCGAAAAAAAAAGAAGATGGAAATACTTATTCATATCTGAAAATGTTTAAACTTCAAACTTGTGTTTTAGTAACTTTAAAATTTGCAAAATCATTCTCATGTTTTCATTGAAAATTGTAAGGTTTGCTTTTATATTAGTGAGAGGTTATAAGTGTTTGTAAGAGAGGGAGTGTATCACTGTGTATGCTTATCTTAATTGGCTAATTAATTGACTGAGACATCCTTGATTTGCAGATAATGAGGTATAAACCGTGAACTACCTAGTGTTTAACTTTTATTCCAATGAAGACAAACAATATTATTAAAACAATTAATAGCTCTCAAAACACTTATTTCAATACAGAATGAAATTATGCTATTTGTTTCATTACTTAAAGACACATTTAATTTACATGTTTATTACTAAGAGTTCTAATTTACTTTTTTTTTTTGAAAAAGACACACACAGGAATGTTTAATGTGTACTGTCAACATACGGGCAGCCCAAATACTCCTAATGAAGTTATTCACAATAAATTATTAAATAATTTTTGCAACAAATCAATAAATATGGAGGTTCAGATCCAAGGTTGAAAGGAATAATTAATTCGTAGGCATATTTTATTGTAGGAATCATGTCTCCACTTTTCATGGTAGAGAATCCCTTATCTGGGCATTTAGTGAGAATGTTAGCCTGCCCAGAATAAAACCTAAAAAGGAGCACATTCAAACTTCAGTGAATAACATAAAATTTACCATTTAAATATTGCTTTGATATTTGAAGGGATAAAAACTTGGAAGTAATCGATTAATAATCGATTACATCTTCCAAAGTAATCAATTACAATCGATTACAGGTTAAAAATGAGTGTAATCGATTAATAATCGATTACACAAAATTCCTCTAAGTAATCAATTATTAATCAATTACATTTTAATTTCAGTAATCGTGCCCATCCCTGACTGTGAAATTGATTTGAATACCATTTTCGTGTATACTCACGCATAGAAATATGCAAGGAGAAACTTGTGCTAAAGTGACGTCACAATGAGCTACAGAGATGTTAATAAAAATGTAACAATGTAGGGGATAATTCAAACATTGAGTATATTTGTGGTGCTTTTGAACATGTAAAATGTAAATATGCCTACGTGACAAGTCTGTGTGATTTACGGTACACACCAATAACTCACACAAAACTTAAAAACATTCCTTAAATGAAAGTGTTCTTTTATATTGTGTGCATAAAGTGTAGATTACATTTTGTTTATATCACAGCCCCCAGGGTTAGAATAGGGCTACAACAGGGGTTCAAGGTTTTACAGATACAAGAATATTAAGGGATCAATCTTTTAAAGTCTTCTTCTCAAGAACAGCAGTGCTACAGTTGTCAAATTAATATGTCAATATTTCAATATCACTAGAATATCAATCTGATATGGTAGTATATTTAATATCCTGTCAGTAAATTTTTTGAAAACATGTGATCATGAGTTAAGTATCTTTCAGATGCTCATTTGTCAAAATGGGAAATCGGATTCAAGAGAACTTAGTAAGTTATGTTTTATCTGTTATAAAGATATGGGTATACACACTTGGCAAAAGGCCCATATGATACAATTATCACAATTGATGATACAATTATTGCTCCTTTCCTCTCCTTCTTGCAGTGTTAAATGTTTCTGTGTTAGTTTTCAACAGTCTCCTGAGCAGTAGCTTTTATTTTATATGATTATTTGTAATCTGACTGAAAATTTAAAAAATTCAAGTGAAAAATTAGCACTGTTAAATCGATTTCATAATGAAATTGAAAGTGGAGTACAGTATTTTTTTTTATTGTAGATAATCTTTCATGGCAATTCAGTAGGCTTCATGCTCATGTAATGTAATTCATGCTCATGTAATGATGTATTGCCAAAATAATTGTGTTGGATTAGTTTTGGAAACAGACTTTTACAACTTGCATTGTAGGATAAATATCTTATTTTAAAAGTAGCAACTCCGTAGTTTTGTGAAGTACATGTAGTTATATTATCTCATACATTGTAACTCGATCTGTTAAGAAAGATAGACAGGTACACAGAAAGATAAAAACAGTCCACATCTGTTCTGGTTCACCTGGATCTCAATGGTAAATTTTTTTGTACAGTACTATATTCAGCTAAGTTTATCATAATTATGTAAATTCATATGTTTTCAGTGTTCCAGAAGTCAGTAGACACCCTGGATAATCTGCGGGACATTAAAGGTGTCTTGGATGGATCAGCTAGGAATTTTGACTGCCCTGGTGTCTGTGAGGACCATCTCCTGGAACTCAGACAGCAGGTGCTGATGCATGTCCCCTCCTCTGTCTCCCCAGAGAACAGACAAAAATTCCAAGACCTCATTGGCAAAACATTTCAAGGTGAGAAATCATGCATTTAGTTTAACGATGGGAAATGACAAGACATATTTATCAGCAAAACTTCATAATCTTGTGTTAATATCAAAACATTTGGATGAATTGCATTGTAACACTTAAGTTGCTACCTGATAAAGTTTGAATAAAACCAGAGAAAAATTAGGCTGAACATTATTGTTAAGTAAAAAAGTTTCATTGTAGTGTACATCCTACCAAGATGTGACTTTGATCAATAACTCTCCATAAAGCTTAGAATATACATTTTGTTATATGTGGTAACAATGGAAGGGCTATTAAAATACTCTGTTTAACATACTTGTTAAATATTCCATATACAGGATTAGAGGTTTTATCGGCAGTCCTTGTGACGTGTCCCTGGTACCAAGCAAGCCAGGACGAGCGAGGGGAGCAGGCACGCCATAATGTCCTCTTCATAGTTTACCTGTCACTTGACCACCAATTCCTAGCTCCAGTTAATCAGCATGTTTTAAATGAAAAATTTGTCCTAGATAAGGTACAAAAGTCTTATAAATTTGATATATTTTTATACATTTACCCTCATCGTCAGTGGGCAAAATCAAAATGGGGCAAATTCAACAGTGTGATAGGATGATATTAACATGGAATGAAAATAACCTTAAGGAACACTGTTAAACATTAAAATTGGAAATTTAACAAGCCTTAGATCCCAAGGAATGTGGTATTTCAGGGCTGGCTGTATGCTATAGAGCTGTACCACTTTGTGTACGCCATTGTGAAAGGTAGAACCAGATGTGTGGAGGTCCTGTATTGTCCAGACTCTGCCCAGTTAATACAAAAGGACCAATGGAAACAACTGAGAGATCAGCTGAATTTTTCCCAAGTTACAAGTAATGCAAATATTACACTAAATTATTTGTAAATGTGTGTTTTATACATTTAGAAAACAAAAATATGATTTTTTTAGATTTACATAGGACAGGTGACCGCTGGATAAAGGTAACCGCTATGAGAAGTTTGACTGTATATTATTTGTAACATCTGCAGTGATCGATTTAGGTTTTTGGCAAAAATTCTTTTTTTAGAACTCCAGGGGTTAAACGGAAGATTGTATTTATAGAACTCCAGGGGTTATAAGGAAGATTCTATTTTTAGAACTCAGGGGTTATGTGGAAGCCTGTAAAGGTCAATCAGTCAGTGGTATTGGAAAGAAAGGAAAAGATGGCAAGTTCCGTCTAGTAGAGTCTACCACATTTCACCAGTTCTGCAACAGCTTTAGGTAATGACAAATCACTCTAATTGTTGAAATGATTGATATATTTAGCAATACATTTAGTCAGTAGTCAGAGTTGTCTCAATTTTTATCATCTGAAATTTCGCACTTAAGAGCTTGTCATGCATGTTAGTTAAATCACTGCTTTTGTGACTTACCTACCTTTTTCAGATTGATGAATCACTTGTACAACATCTCTGCTGATTTACCACCCTGTACAGATCCTTCCCAGCTGCTGAGTCTACCAGACATAGCTGTGAGAGGGAAGAAACTGCTGTACAGCCTTTATAAAGTATGGATGAATACTGGGAATATCAATCTATTGGATACTTTCTAACACTTTCATAATATTTAAACTTCTAATATCTTTCCAGGTAATATTTTCTGGATCATAAAACACTAAATTAAATTTATTGTAGGATCCAGATGTGTCAAAGAGAGATGTATTTGACCTACTTGTCCAATGGCGTGACTCAGTAATCTCAGGTCTCAAAAACCTCCAATACACCAATCAACAAGAAATGGAGGAAATCATAGGAAAATGGCAAATAGAAACTAGACTGAAAGGGAGGAAGATCTCTGTCCCTAAAGGTAAGCTGTAGAGCATGGCCATAGATCTGTGGGGAAGGGAGATATTAAAGAGCATGCAAAAGAGTTCAGTTATGTATGACTAGATGTGCCAGAGTTGCTGAGATTTTTTTTTACTGTATTAAGTTATTTTCATGATATGTTTTATGTAATTCATGATACGTTTTATGTAATTCATGATACGTTTTATGTAATTTATGAAGTGTTGCCAGATGAACATTCTTCATTGACAACACAGATGCAAGAAATTGGTGGACAGGTTGCTAAGTTACAACCAGAGCAAATTATTCTGATTGCTCAGGCAGGCAGTCACATGTACGGCTTAGCCACGCCCACTAGTGATGTGGATTTCCTGGTAATCTATTCAGAACCATGTGAGGTAAAGTTTAGATTTATTATTTGTTAACATCATGTACCTTTTTTCATGTAATGAACATATTTTTAAAATGCATAATAATTGAAACATCACTAAATTGCACAATGACTAGGCCATCTTTAAAAAAAATTGTTATGTTAATTTGCCCTCTCCCGACCAACTGACTAAAAATAGCCCGACAATCTCAAAACTTTTTAAACCTCCAGGAAATGATTATTTTTTAAAATTCATTTTGGAATTTTTTCATTTATTCAACTACATGTACTATTTTAATTCTATCAATACTTTTAATTTCAATAGATTTAGAAAATGCAGCACTGATGTTAAAAATTTCTTGGGAAAAAAAATTTTGCTGCCTACTTACCAATCTTTTTTTTTTCATCTGAAGTCAGAAGAGGGCAAACAAACATTTTTTAAAGATGGCCCTATGACCAGTGATTTAATTGTAGATTTCACATTACTGAAATTTTGGATTTCACAATACTGATTTTTTTTACTGTATAAAGTAATTTACATGATACTTTGCGCATGTACATTAATTTATGTAGTTATAAAATATTGCCAGATAAACATTCTTCATTGAATGAATTGAATTATTCATTTCTTACTTTTTTTAGTTATGTGTGATAAAATCAAAATGTCTTGAATATTAAATATATAGAATAAACAGTGTAATCTCTCCCAATTGGAATTAATCTACTTTTGTTAATGTCCAGAATGTGTTAGGAAGGTGTAAAGAAATCAAGGATAATTTTGAAAGCAGAGGTCCGTCCAAACTTCTGGAGTATGGTGCTTATGAAGCTCGCCTTTTTTGTGAGATGTTGCTAAAAGGAAGTGTTGTTATTCTGGAAGTAAGTTTTAGAATGCTACTTCTAAGTTGAAGTCTGTCAACATGTTATTAGGTAAAGTGTGAAGTTTGATAAACTTTTCTCATAAAATGAGAAACTTCATGTGACAAAGATATTTCAAATTTCAAATACGAAGTTTTGCTTTTTCTATGAATTGCTTGTACATTGCTCTCTAAACAAAAAGATAAAATATTATGTCAATCAAGATGAGACATTTTTTTTTAAATTAAAAGAGGATAATCTGATACATATATTTTGATTTTACTTTACAGCTGGTATTTGGAGAAAATCACAATTACATGAGCTCATTATGGAAGGTATCAATGTACAACTTGTACATGTATATGATAAAATTCCCTTAAATACAGAGTATTGATAATTACAAAGATGTACTTTAATAAATTAAGTAGTACATGAATATGATTATTCTCTTTCAGGAATTAGTCAATAAGAGAAAGAGCTTTTTGTCAGAAAAAGGAATTCAGCAATATTTAGGACTGATACAGAACAACTTAAAAATGTTAGAGAGGGACAAAAATGGAGGGGCTTCCAAGGACAGGAAACTTTTGTATCAGGTGTGTGGACTAGATAAAATTAGGTCTTTGGAGAAAAATTAACTTGTCCATTCAGTCATTTTAGTTGCTTTCATCCAGCTACAAAATATTCTCTTTCTTTAGTAAAATGTTAATGCTTATTGAAACAATATTTGTAAATATGGTATTTATGAAAATATTTCATAGTTGAAAAACAAGAATGATTCAATATTAATTAAGGAATAAATGTTTTGTTTTTGGTGTTTATGGAGTTACAAGTTGATTGGATCATGTGATAATTTATATGAATGTTGAACTGTACAAGAATTACCACTCTATTCAACATCCCCATACCCCCCCCCCCCCCCCCCCCCATTTGGACAGTTTCCTATATATGATATGTTATTTGAATAATTGAAATACAATTGAACTTCGATATCTCAAACACTGATATCTGGAATACCATGGATATGTCAAAGTTGAAAGTCCCAACCACTTATTCTTGAAGTATTTTACTCCTGATATCTTGAATCCTTGGATATCTCGAAGTTTTTTCTTGGTCCCTCGAGTTTGAGATAACGAGGTTTACCGTGTAATATTTAATCGATACTGGTGTGTTTCTTATAGTTATATATTTTCAGTACCAGACCGCCCTACTTCATAACATAGTAAAACAAGCAAAAGATTTTGCAACGACTCTCCTTTCTGAAAAAATGTGACTGACTTAGGAAATGCCAAATAAGTCACATGTCTTGAAGTTGGTACAACACATAACTGACTAGGAAATGCTTTTGGAATCAGTTGCTTTCCTTGCTGTCAGTACTTATGACTGATTTAGGAAATGCCCCATGAGTCATATACTTTGTAGTTGATTCAACAAGTGAATGACTAAGGAAATGACATTTGGAATAAATCACCTACTTGTAGTCAGTATAAGTGACTGACTTGAAAATTCCCATTATGTTACATACATAGTAGTTGTTCTCAATACAGGTGACTAGCTCAGGAAATGCCCAATAAGTAATATGCTTAGTAGTAGTAGTTTGAACAACAAGTGACTGATTTTGGCCTCCAACCACATTGCTTGTAGTCAGTACAAGTGACTGACAGGAACTGCCCAATAAGTCACATTCCTAGTAGTCCTACAGCTGACTGACTGGCAACATACGTTTACCTCAGAATCCATCTATCACAAAATTATAGCCGTATTGATGATTATGGTTAATTATCAGTAAGAAATTACATTAAATATAAATTATTTGAAATGTTAAGTTTAATTAAGTCCTAATTACCTTACGTTTTTTTCTGGGTTTACTGGATTTTTAGCTGTATTTCAATTCTAGATATTCCATAAGAGTGATGCTGTAGAGAGAATGATGAATGGTGATGTACCCAAAGTTAGATGTAGTGGAGAACTCCGGGATTTCATCATGAAAATCAGAACAAAACCACTAGAGGTAAACATAACAACAACTAATGGGATTTCTCAATGGTTTTGTAAATCATGTTGAATGCTTTGTACATTTGTAAGTTATGCAATTGGTTTTAATGCATCTTGGAGTATTTTAAAAGATAACCATTTATGTGAGTATTTGGATGACAAACTAAAGTTTTAAAGAGAGTTAATTGCAAAAATTGTTTAAAAGTGTGTAAAAATGAATGACAATGAGCAAAATTAAAGCTGTTAACAGTTACATGTATAAAATGTTAAGGTCTCTTAGGTTGACATTAGGCAAAAAAAAATTTAATCTTTAGTTTCTCAGGCCAAAAAATTTAATATTTAATGCAGCAGGAAGGTCTCTTTTTGTTTTATTTGAAGCAGTTGTTATCTCTCTCTCTCTTTTTTTTGTCAATCAACAAGATGATATCATCTGATTCTTACCATTTTAATTCTGATATGTACTCAACTTTAGATAATGTTATTTCAGACATTTTTGATAAAAAGTTAATTTATAAAGTACCATACATGTAAATTAATTAAAAAGTTAATTCATAAAGTACCATACATATACAGGGGCGTAGCTTCCATTGTGGCAATGAGGCAACTGCCTCACTAGATTTTTAACCACCAACACTCCCTCCCATATATAGTTAATAATACATTGCAGAAAATATCTTGTAAAAATTATAATTTAAGCAATTCTATAATGTACGTTCATACCAACAAGGTTTGGGCTCTACCTCCATTACTGAAAACTCCAAGTAGGCAATGATTGGAAAAAATTAAAAACTGATAAATGTTTGACAATTATTAGTTTTGACGATATAAAAACAAAATTAAAAAAAAATGTATTCATTTTAAAATGTGTTAGTTTTAGAAAACATATTTATTAACTCTTTAACCATCGTCGAAAACCTGTGGTGGTCTAGCTTCTCTTGCTTCGTGGGTTTCTGACGATGCTCTTTTAGATATTTTAATAATATGTGGTATCATATCCACGCTATGAAACTGGTAAAATTAACTATACTTCTGTGCAGGAGAAGTCTGATAAAACACCCAAATCCATATTCTGTCCGGAGGGGTGTGTGGTGCCCCCCTCTACCCCCCACCCCCCACCCACCACCACCATGGCGCTGCCCTGACCTACTTGGGGCCTTAGGTGGCCCCATACCTCCTGCCGCTATGGTTTTGCCTCACTAGAATTTTAAGCCAAGCTACGCCCCTGATATATATACGTGTAATGTGTAACGAAGAAAAACGTCTTTGAGCAAATATTAAAAGGGGCATAACTCAAATATTTTTTTTTTCAACTTGGAAAAATAGAAAAATTTATTTCCCTTTTCAATATTTCAATAAAATGATCAATGCGGGAGTGTTTTACCTGATGTGGCGGTGCCGAGAAACTATAGATTAATTTTTTTGGCCTTAATTCTTTGTGTGTGTTTTAGGTTTATATTAAAAATCTACACATCTTAAAGAATTTAAAAATATTTAATTTTGTGAACTCATTTCAGAATGACTTTGACAGGGATGTTCTGCTCACAAAAGCAAAACAGAAAGTTGATGAACTGTTTACAAGATTGGCAGCAAGGAAAACAAGACTTAAGGAAAATATGGACTTTAATGTAATGACAGACTGGTTATTGAATGTCAGGGGTCTGAAATGTTTGTCAAATATATAATGGCATGATCTTAGATATTTCGCATTACTTTGATTAAAACATCTTGTTGATTTAATTACAATTACAAGTTTTGCTTCAGAGTTCATTTTATACATGTAATTTAAAAATTGTGTAAATTGAATATATTGATTTTCAAGAAAATGATCATTTGAAATTTTTCATGATCATCAAACTGAGAAAAAGCATAAAGGATGACTGCACCCAACAGTGAGTTTTGTACCTTATTTTATCCTTCTGTTGCCTTAATATCTTAATCTAATTTCACTTTTGTATATTTACCAAAGAATTATGTCAATTTGGCACCAAATCGAAATATCAAAATGATTTTAAACTGTGATACAATAAAATAATTCTATATTATTTCTCCTTATTTCTAGAGAATTTACATTTATCTGCCTTTGACTGAACATTAGGTATGAATCAGAGGTGGGGTAAAATTGTAAGAATGGGTCTAAAATTAGACTAGATAAATATATAATGACATGTAATAAAAAATAGGAGATCGCTCTTTCTCCCTCTTTATTCTGTATGACACAAGTATACTTTTACAAAGGTTTCTAAATAAAATTGACAGTATGAGCACGTACGTCCATGCAAGTAAAGAACATTTTAAATCAGTGCCCGACAATTTAACATGTTCTAACACAGTGTCCTAGTTAGTGCAATAATGTAGCCCTCCGATTTTTTTTCAGGAGAGGACATGCCTACTTCCGTGATTTGTAAATTATGCAAGGTTGCATTATGCAAACGCCTATTATGACGAAAGAGGGCGCTATACGGAGGGCAAGTTAATTCGTTGCTTAAAGGTGCTCAGACACAGATCTGAACTTAATATTTTCTCAATTTGTTTGTATAATATCACGACTTATATATTGCAATAGCATTTCACACGAAAATATAATTAAAAACTTATTTTATCTGGAAATTATTGGAACTACGAATTCCGGGACGCGTTTGATTAACACATCTTTGCACTTACACAAATTTTAACTTTATCCTTAATATCTAAGAAAAGAAGCGATTCTGTTATGTACATGTATTAGTAAACAAGAATAGATATGGGTTACCCCATATCCAAGATATTCGACTTTTAATTTATTCGAATTTTCATTGTGATCAGATGATTTCTAATAAAAAAAAACAAGTATTTACTGACAAAACGTCAGAGATACTCAAGCTGTAGAAAGTCATAATAAAAGTGCCATGAATATCCTAAAACGACAAAATATTTAGGCGACTGAGTTTCAACATCTTTTGTTGAGTAAAATATGCATGTACTAGGAAACCAACTGCATGTTCATAAATAACGTTAGATGCATGTAGTGACTATCACAAAGTCGCACATGCATAAAAAAAAGTACTTTCACATAGAACATAGACTAGATATAATTAATCGTATAATTTTAAAAATGTATTTAACACCTCACTCATTTTCAGGAATATTTAATCCAAATAGCATATGTTACAGGCCTGTAGCAACGTTTTCAAAGTGAAGGGGGGGGGGGCTCCGAAAAAAACTATGGGCCTGTGCTACATGTGTACTATCTAACTTTCCAATGATATTATAATCTTCTGTAAAAAAAACTATCACCCATAGTATAGGCAGATGTTAAAGATGGTCAACATGTCACCTTTTAGAATGAATGAACTTGTAATCAATGAACTCGTCCAGAGATGCATTGACGGCCGTTGTTAAACGCAAAGGAAAGCGCGAGATCGGCTATGGAGCATCACTGAATATTCCTTATAGTCATAGAATAGAATCCGACATTTAACACTTGATATAGATTTTGAATATACAGATGTTTTGAAGATAAACTTAGTATATTTTCGTGTTTTTAAACTGAGTAGATCGATGACCTAGTCTCGTTTTAGATAACTCAGCCCCTCTAGCCCAACCTAGGGCTTGAGTAAAAAACCTGCACTTCTTATGAAACTGGTGTATAGTTCTAAACTTCTTCATGTCCGTAGCAAATACTGATACCCAGTCTACGTGATCTAGGCGTCACTAGCAAACGGTGCACACACCTGTGCTTGCAAGACCAAAAGCCTAGGTCTACACACGTGCGAAGATCCTTTCAGACGAGCTCGGAACATTACGTTGCTTTGCCGAGAAGTTACGATTGCAGGTGTTTAAAAAGTAACCATTTCGTTATTCATTAAAAGAGAGAAAAAAAACACACAGTTAATGATTAATATATCCATTCAAAAGAAATTATAAGGCAATGAACGAACAATAATCATGACAGTAATATAACTGGTGAAAAGATATATCATTATCAATCGAAGTATGACCTATATATTTTCGGGAAAAAGACTGAGGAGGCAGCGAGCGTAGGAATATGAAAACTTTTTATTTGCTTTTCTGGGGAAAGGGTGATTTTCTTAAAATCTTTTTACATTAATTTTGTTTTCTTTAACGTATTAAATATACATCATTATTCCTAACATTTGTTGTAATCTTGTATATACTGATCATGAATGGAACTATTTTCGTCGGAGCAATTGTGTGAAGAGTACCTGACTTTAGTAATATATCTTGAATAGATAATATGCACTGATCGAATATATTAAAAATATTACATCTATAATCCAGAAAATTCAGAGTAGAACTGTTCGAAAGCAAAACCAACTCAGCAGTATTGTCAGTCCGTGCTCTGTGATGTGTTCAGAGTTTAACAAACTGAACAAACCCGTGAAACGTAAACTGTTTTTGTTAACAGGAGCTCTGTTATTGCAGCCCGGACGACCGGGCTGCTCTATACATATAAGTTTAAATGTTGGTATATGGGGATTGAGGTGGGAGAAGTTATTCAGAATTAAAGGTTTTCTAAACATTAAAAAGATTGTTAATCAGAATGTTCTTTCCCTTTATAAATTACGAGATACACAATATATTTACTTCCATAAAGTGAATCTGTAAAAATATATATGTTTTTCATATTTAATATATAAAGTTGCTTATCATTTACTATCGAAAAAAAGACAGGTCCCTTTTTTTAGAACATCGAATTTTACTTATCGCATAAAAACGTAAAAACGTACTTTACACAGTTCGTGTTTTATATTCTTAAAGTGAAAGACATTTTTGAAAATAGGTGATACATGTGTCTGGTTTCAATTTATATTTTATCCAGCCAACATTTACTTGAAGAATTGATAAACTTTAAAAGGGTATCGTTTTTGTTCGATTTTCATCCGACTGTAAGTTTTCAAAATATTCTCGACTATCGTCTCCATCATTTAGACGCATGCCTTTTCCACACATATCGAAGCGGTTTGATGATCAAGACTCATTTCCATTGTTTACTTTACTTCACGGGCGACAATTGATGGTTACATCAATGTTTTCTTGTTTGTTAATGTTTACGATTCACCGGGTGTGTTCAATTGTTAAACTCTGCACTCACCACTGAGCACGGACTTACAATACTGTGAGTGGGTTTTGCTTTCGAACATTTCTACTCTGAATTTTCTAGGTTATAGTTTTAATATTTTTTCATTAATACACAACAAAATTGCCACTTTTCTTAAGTATTAAGAATAAAATTAAAATATGTGAAAGCGCAAGGATGTCCAGAAATTCGAAAATTTAATAACTTCGAGATGAAATAAGATTTTTATTATATTTAGTATGAAATGCTATAGCAACATGAAATTATATAGAAAATTTGAGAAAATATTAACTTCAAATCTGTGTCCAAGCACCTTTAAAGGCCGAGGTTTTCAACCGGTCGGTTTCCCTCAGGTAAATTTGGTGAGAGGTGGGGCTTAATCGAAGTGATCGTGAAGCCCTGAGGGAACCATGCTGGCTTGTGTATACCTACTGAAATACACAGGATGTTACCTGTGCTACCTGTATGTTTTCCTAAGACATAGTAAAACGTCGTTTTCATTTTCCCCATTCGTCCTACCATAAAAAATATAAAGAGAGCTGTTTGTATATATTAATATTATTTTCAATGCATAGTCATGGCATGGGAGGGGTATGCAGTAGTAAAAAACATCCCAACAATATTTTAATATTCAGCATATTTTTAAAATACCTTTTCTGGACCCCCTGGGATGTTCAGCTATGAATTTTTATTTATACAGTTAAATAGTCAAGAAATATTCTTTGAGCCCCTCTACCACTTTTAGAAATTATGAACCTTTCGTAAGAAAATAGTGTCATATATATGAAAGAAAACACCCCCCCCCCCCCACACACACACACACACGATAAAGGTATTTTGTGTATGAATAACTTTTTAGTGGGTATGGACCACACACTCCCCTCCTCTAGGAAAATATCCTTAGAAAAGTATTCAACCCGTAGAACGCTGGGGGCCACTCGCGGGGCGCCCCCACTTTTTTGTGAGTATAGAATTTTGCCATCTTATTTTTTCAAACTTATACTCTTCAAAATGTTTTGGATGTTTTACTGACTATAGACGATAAGGGCCAACTAACAACAAAATTGTATGACAATTTAAATGAGATGTCTTCAGCTTTTCCATCGTCAACTTTCCTTACGCATTTATGTAGTAATGGACATTTTCGGTTGGGTGAACATTTACAAAATAGCGACTACGGATCATGTTCTGAGTACGATCAATATTTAAATCAAGGCAGGTTACTAACAGATAAGCTGATGTTACAGGGATTTCAACAACCTCGTTTGAAGTCAGCATTTCGTAAATTCTATGGTTGTTCTAATGATCTTGTTAACAAACATAACCTATCATTGGGTTGTATATTTTGGTTATCGTGTTTCATACCAATTGTTAGGCCTTTGTTTTTGTACTGATTTTGACTACGGAATGTTCCGTCTACCTGATCAATATGTAGGGCTTACGGCGGGTGTGACCGGTCAACCTCTTAGGCACCTGACCCCACCTTTGGATTTTCCGGGGATCCATGTTTTATGCCCTGTTCACAGATTTGTATTGTTTGTAGATTTTTTTGAGTTTAATCACTGTTCGTTATCTTCGTCTTTCTCATTCTAGGAATTTCTGTTTATAATTGCATCTTGAAGCTTCGGCGATTCTGAATATCCACCAACAAGCAATATATAGCTTACGTCTTTAGCACTATTGATGTTTAGTACTTGCTCTAGATGATCACAAACTTGTTCTGTTCATTGCTGGAAAAAAAGGAAAAAGTTGGAATTTGTCAGAAATTCACTTCATCTTATTTTTTGCAGCCTCCCCCTGAAATGATTAACTTGGATAAATCTTTTCGTATATCTTTGTGCATCTTCGCTAGCCTAGGGCTTCTGATACTCTCCTCTCCTCATAAGTTTATGAGGAGAGTAGCGTATCAGAAACCCTTGGCTAGCGAAGATAATCTTTGTGTAGGAGGCGGGAAAATTTATCGTGATTTACTCGGACATTCCAGTTTTGATGACTCTTTTTGTTTAATTTCAAACTATCGGTACAGTTCCATTAGATCCATTTTTTTCCCGAATGAATTTTTCCGCCAGTTTCTTCCAGGAACTTCATATATTTTTCATCCACCTTACTACCTCCCCAAATTCGCTGAACCTTCCGCCATCAAGTACTTCATGTACAGCAATATTAATGGTACCGCCTTAAGATATGACAAATTAAACCACATGTTATAGTTTCTGTTGTAGTGTGTATACTATAGTGAAATATCAACATAAAGTTAGAAATAGATAATGAGTATAGGTAAACAGAGTATACAAGAGGAAACGAATTTGCCAATGTATGAGATTACAAGGGCATCTGGTTATATATATCTGCACCTCCTCCTTAAACATTGTATGTTTAACCCCCACCCCATGAGATTGTATCCATTCGTCATTTGTTTTGAATGCCAAACTTGTAACTTGTCTTGTAGAAGATTGTTACTTTTAGAGCTGGGTTTTCAGTTTGATCATTGTGGACTCAAATGTCTCACTGCATTGGTCGTGATAGTAAAAACTTTTTTAGATATTAAAATGTTAAGAAAAGCGGGCAAAAGGACCATAGTCATATTATAAAGCCAATTGTTAAACACTCCTGTCTTGAATATCACACTGTCAAGCAAATGCATGTAAGCCTTTCTAGTCTGTGAATCAAAAATAAATTCATGGTTTTATTGAGGGCTATTAAAATTCAACACTGAGTGCAAGTAATTTACAGTTAAATTATTTGATAACAATGTACTTTGAAATTCCAAAGAAAAATACTTAAATTAGATATTGAGAAAATAGGCTTGGTCTAAAAGTCACTACATCTGCCGTAGTTATTTCATACTGTACATTTATAATATTTTTATATTTATTATGTCTTTGTATACACTGGGGGAGGACTGCTGATATAATAGGCCGGGGTCACAGAAAGCCACGCCTGTTCACTCTGTTTTCCTCCCCCTGAAGTGACCTTTGTTGGCGTGTAATCTTTGCCCAATTTGACTTCACTCTTCTCAATATTCAGGTCTGTTTGGGAATCACTTATCTTCTTTTTGCAATACTTCACTTTGATAACGCTGTAAAATGATTTATTAAATAGAATTACTTTTATTTTAAACAAACGAATATAACGATATACAAAAATCAGCAACAGAAATTTCTGTTGAAGGACACGTTCACTACTGCCTTTTAATTTAAAAAAAAAAATATAGATTTACATGGCAACAGCTGAAAGTCATCTACTCACCATCCAACAACAAAACCAACGACGACGACAGCAACGACCGACACGATGATTATAATGACCTTCTTGTGATGTTTTCCTTTTCGACAATCATCTTTGCTTTTCCCGTCTGATTTTTTATCACAGTCATCGTCATCATGGTGATTCGGACTCCCTACACATACGGTTATATATTGTTATAAATCATGCTCTCTGACTTTTTATTTATTTTTTGTGAAATTTAATAAAAGTTCGCAATTTTTAAAAGGAATTGATTACCTGCTTTGATGCAGACTTTTCCGGAGCCAGTAGTGACATTGCAGCATTTTTCCCCTAGTACGGTACACTGGGAATCGTCCGAGCATGACAGCAGCGCTCCACCCCCTCCAGTAGAAGGTACTGTAGCTGGGCATACTATAAATATCATAATAACCGCAATAAATGAAATTTCCAAATTTTTATCTTAAAAATTGAAGATAAATTTCAACAGCACAAATACAAACGAAAAAAATGTTCATGTTTTGAAAGGAAACATTAAAAAGATATATAAATAAAAAAAAATAATTAAAAAAAAAATAATGAAAAAAGATGTACGAGATCAATTAAAATGAATTAAAGAAAGAAGACATGTCGTTAATAATTAAATCACAAATAAACCTAAGTAAATGAATGGAATTGTCCCTAAAATCGCTAAAAACAATTACGCTATTAATAAATGCCCACTTTAAGGATAAAATCGCTTTAAAATTTGCCAATCGCTAAAAGAAATATACGATATAAAAAAGAAAATGAAAAATGGTAGCATAGAATTTGGAGGAGCAAGAACAATCACTTGGATGATAAAAACAAGATGCACTGAATTTCTGTTTTACCTTCATGAGATGATGCAGCAATTTCACCTGTAAAAAAAATATACACAATAATAATATATTTTTTCCTCTTTTGTCCATTTTGATTATCATGACTTTATTAATAAAAGTAAAAAACAGTCTGCCAAATAAATGAAAATACCCTTAATTTGTTGGATAATGCAATATCATTGTTTAGATGCATTATATAAAATGCAAAGAGATAAATTCATAAAAAGCAAAACTTCCACATTATTCTTACCTGCGAGAAAAGTAAGGAAACAGAAGATTATGATTCTACTATCCATGATAGAAAATTTACAGATGCTTCTTTAATAGTCCGCTTCCCAACTCTGTCTGGGCCTCCTCTGGTGTGTGCTCGATGATATAGTTAAACCCCGGTTTTTTTAACAATAGATATTGTTTAATTATCATGCCTTCAGTACTCTATCTGTGGATCATTGGTTTTGTTGGACAACTTCGTGCACAAGTACCTATTTCTGATTGCATCTTTCAAAATCTTTATATATACATGTATATCAAAACGCATTTTAAGGTAGTTAATAGAAATCGTGACTTTGAAGAATCCACTGCCTATGTGCAAATTAAATAATATGACCTTGAAATGTCTGGATCATTCAATGAACTCAGGTTAAAAAAGAATTCTCTCTATGAAACAATATAATCCAAATAAATATAAAGATGACATTTAAAAAAAAAAATTATTATTATTATTATTTTACATTATATGTATATGCAAATAACCATTTCCATAGAGTGGAAAATGTAAGTATGAGACAAAAACACAAAGCCAGTAAAATACATTAAAATCCAATAAACTCAAAACAAACGATCATGTCGCTCATTGTATTCATCCTCCCGAGAAACGAAAACAGCTTTGATTTCCTGTTTGTACGGAAACATTAATCGATTCAATAATGAACTTAACATATTAAATCGTACTCTGTGAAAAGGTTGAAAATGCAGATCCAAAACGTATTCCTTTAAAACACAAAACCGCTTTAATAAGAGTATAATTAAGAAATGAGCACACATTTCTCATTCTCTTCATAGAATATATTTCTTGCATAAATATTACCAAGTTCACTTAATTTCGAAAACATTATGTTTATGAAACCTGAGAGTAAAAATAAAAACGTATATATTAACAACCTTGAATATTTGTCAAGATCGTTTCAAGGTTACTATATCTATTTCAACTTTCATCACAAAACAACTAAAAACTTTGCATAGTACAGGTTAAGTGCCCCATTTGCTTCAAATAAGACCCATTCTTTTCAAAAGAATCTTTCTACACATACATGTGTTTCTCCTTTATTTGACAAAAGAGATTTCATCTCTTCCCCTACTTATACATTCATCCTCAACAATGACCTGCATATTATGTTGTTTATGTCTCACAACTGATTCAATACGTAAGAGCATGTTCTGAGTACGATCAAACCGAGAGCGGCTACTGACAAATAAGTTGATCTTTCTCTGTCGTTTAAGCATTTCACAAATTCCATGGTGGTTAAAATGGTTATAAATTTTAGGAAGGGGGTATATTTCAAATAAATAACATCTGGTGCCTATGGTATTATTATGTTTCATCAATACAAGACCGACATGTTTATCAATTGACTGCCTTTAAGAAATTTGGTAATAAGCGAATTTCCAAGAGTTAAAGAATCAACTGTAAAATACTCTCTTATGACAAATTATTTCATCTACAGGTAGGTATAAGCTAAACACCTTAAATTGCAAATGTTGCCAATATTCATACAATAAATAATACTTGTATTATACATGTATAATAACTATTTCATATAAAAAATGCATTTATAAAGATCTGTTTAGATGTTAAAATAATGATTTCTTTTATGAAATATATAAATAGTGGTGCATTATTAATTGTATTTAATAAATCATTTCTATTAAAAGCATGGTGTAAATTATACTTTAGAGGGTTGATTTGATAGCAATTTTGAGCTGTGATTTGAAGGGCAACAAGGCAGGTCTTAATGACACATTGAATTATTTCCCATTTTTAGATTTGAAAATCAAGCAACAAAGTTTTTTTTCAAGGTTATACCATAGAACAAAATTTTTGATAAACATTAAACTTGTATTTATATAATTCAATATGTGCATTATGATTATAAAGTAAACTAATATAATTATGATACGCCATATATCAAATTCATTTATTAGTTTAAGATTTTGAAAAAAAAAACCCAAAACACAGAAGGCTGTGGATATTCTAAACGAATAAAAAGAACTGTAAATCAAGACTGTGATGGAAATATTTTCCTAATAAATGCATATAATATGAAAAATGTAAAGTAATTGAATTGTAACCGAAGAGTAATTGAAATTACATGGTATTGTTCAGTGTAATTAATTAAATTACAATTACAAGTAATTGAAATAATGGTCAATCACAAATTACTTCCATTCACTTTTAAAAATATACTAGTAATTGATTACACTCAATTACTTTTTTTTCAAATACCCCATCCCTGTTATCTTCAACATTTTTTTCTCATTGACGATCACTAAGTGGATCTTATAATTACGAAAGCCCAGAAGGCTCATTCGAGATTTGAGTTTTTGAAATACGAAATTCGAATTTCGAGATTCAAGATCTAATTCGGATTCAAGATGCAATTCTTGATTCCGCCTTCTGACTGGTTTATTTAGATATTAAATCTCGCAATTCGAATTTCAGACCTGGTATTTTGAATTTCTATTTCGAAACTCGAATTTCGAATGTACCTTCTGGACTTTCGTATATAATGATGGGAACTTCATGTTCATATTTGTCTTGATTTTTACTATAAAAATAATTAAGTTGTCAGTTAAATTCTAAGTACAACAAAATATTTAAGTATGCATACATATATGGCAGACTCAGGGGTGTCTTATTTTCACTGGGATATATCGAGTTTACATATGAATGAAAATTATTATTAATTGATGAAACGTCGTTTTTTTTATTTTAAATGATAAATTCTGCTTTATAAGATTATAAAAACAGGTAGGTTTTTAAAGGAGCACAAGTACTGCTTATTGGAATTTCAACAGATAGGTCTCCAAAGACTACATAGATATTGTCAAGACGATCTCAATTCGAATCGGTAAGAGACAAACCCACACAGTTCTATAAAATACAATAGCTGAACATGCAGATCTCAGAAATCGAAAGAATTGAGTCTTAATTTTGTTGAAATGCTGACAAGACCCTATCTTTAAAGTCATATATGGCGTTTTTTCCCGATAAGTTCAGACTAACTAAAATTAAAAAGATCTTTCTATTTGTTTTATTAATTTATATAAAGATAGGACTTTCCTGTAAATTACACAATTTAAATCAATCGCGTTTCATAGATATTAGAATTTTAAAACACTATCCGATTTATTTACCGACTCCGCATTTAAATGATATATGTGGAGATAACGAACAGTATTCGAGTTCAAAAGTCCATTAAGCATTACAAAATAGGAGCAGAGCAAACACGGACCTCTAAAACTTCAGAAGTGGGATCAGGTGCCATGGAGGAGTAAGCATCCCCTGCCGACCGGTCACACCCGCCGTGTGCTCCTTGTCATCATCGGGAAATAACGGAAAAAGTCTTCGGCAATTCAGTGTATAGATAATGGCCCAACAAATAGTATGAAAAAAGTCAGTCAACATTTGACTTAATGATAGATTGTATTTGCTGACAAGGTCATTGTATCGACCATAGAACTTATGAAATGGTGACATTAAACGAGACTGTTGATATTCTTGTTTCATCAACTTGTTTGTCAATAACTTACCCCGTTTTAGAAATTGTTCATACATAGAACATGCTCTGGCGTATCGAATCAACTGAGAGATATAAACCCTGTGTGCAGGTGATAAGGGTATATTGCTGCATAAGTATCAGACACCGTTTAAAGTCAATTTAACTTTAGAAATGTGGGGGTTATGCAAGTTCAAAATCGGTGAAAATTTTAATATGAACGTAAATAACAAATATCATGTTCATCTACACTCAATCTCGTATTTTTATTTTTTTTAGCTCAGATACGCCATATATAGCTTTAAGAAAACATGGAAAATACAAATGGATTACAATTTGTTTATGACTGAACTTAATCTAAAGACCTTTCAACAGTTTAATATTAATGTGGTTTACCTCAACTGAGATTAATTGAACTTGGGACTTGGTAAGAATAAATGGGATAAAAATTTCATAATTTGCGAAAAAAAGTCAAACAAGCTGTAAATGCTGAAAAGTGAATCTTTAATATCAAAGTTTATGGCCGACAAAACAACTTATGGATATCATTAAGTTTATTAAACAATAACAAGGCAGTATTTAACAAAGAAGAACCAGCAGTAAAATCACTGAGTTTAAAAAAATCAGTATTTGTCCACATGTCCACTCATTTTTGCCTGATGTGAATAGCTCGGTGGCGGATCTATAGAATAAGCAGGAGGAGCGGTGGGGGAGATGAAGTAGGGAGGTGGTGGGTTATCGTCAATCCAGCATTCTTCTTTTCTGGTGTTTTTTGTAGAATCATATAAACCTGTGGTTTTTGGTTTAACGATATAGTTTGAAGAACGTCCAGAGGGATCTTTGCCACGTATGTTAATTTGTGAATTCCCTATTTTGCTACGAACACAAAATCTTTTCACCGAACTGAAAATAATTAAAAAAATTAACATTATTCATAAATAATAACCCGAGATAATCCTCAATAAAAAATATCTATAGGTATTATTTTCAGACTTGGTTAAATGAAAATCTGCAGCAAATTTTTATTTGACAAAATACAATCCATCAAAAAAGACAGCAGGTGTCATTTTCTGTCTTCGGGATTTTTCTTGTGAAGAGGGTGAAAATAACGGACAATGATCGATCTAAATAAACCTACAAGCAACACAAATCTGTAAACAGTAGGGATGGCAACGAATATTCGAACATTCGAATATTCATTCGATGAGTTGATATTCGAATATGAATTTAAGATTCGAATATTCGGTGTTTTTCAGATTTCATTTTTTGATTAGAACAGTGCTTGAATTATCCCTGTTTAATTTACTAGCGATCAATTTCGATCACCTGATTTCTTTCACTACTTTCTTATCTTAAAGGTATACTAAATAACATTTATTTTGTTTTGAGTAAGGTGTTAAAGAGTTGTACAATAATGCTTTATGTATAAGGCAAAACGCACTTTCATAATTTTTATTAGTTAGATACTATCGGATCTAGAATCGAGGACAGCAAAATGAAAACCTTCTTAGAATGTCTAAAAGACGCGAAGAGTATACTTTTCAAAATAAATTTAATTGATCATTGAATGAATGTCCGATAGAATTAGTCTGTAATTAATATTGCTCAATTTCAGAATAAATGTGTAAATTACTTGATTATCTCGTGTTGTACATAATCCTAAATTTTATATTCATTATCGGGAAATTAGTTAATTACCTAGGAAAATTGTCTATGGAAATATTTGTTTATATTTTAAAAACATTGTATCAAAGATTATAATCATATCTCTTATGAGGCAGATAATTGTAATTTATTACACGTATTGAAATCTGAACAGCTGTACACCGTTACGACTATCTTGCCTTTGGTTCCTCAGTTGGAGCTACTTTAAATACACATGTTTCATTTGTCAAAATTATACTTTTCTACAATGAAATCAATTATTTATTTCAAACATTGTCAAATATCAAATGGAATTTCTTATTGTACACCTACAAAAGTCTTCATACAATTTTACTTCCAATATAAGTATACCTACGCTAAACCTTTCATGAGAGTAGGATGGTGCATATATAAATTAAACAGATTTTATTTATTTTATCGAATATTCGAATATATTCGAATACTTTCATTGAATATTTGAATATGAATTATTGACAAAATTGACATCCCTAGTAAAAAGAGTATAAAACACAGACCCCTGGAAATTCCAGAGGTGGAATCAGGTGCCTAGGAGGAGTAATCACTCCCTGTCGATCAGTCACCGTGGGCCCTATATGTTGATCACGTAGAAGGAATAATCCGTAGTCAAATTTTGTCTCAAGAACTAGTCACAGAAAATGTCTTACTGATAACCGACATCACATAAAAACATGAAACTTCTAGCAGTTACTTACGTTATCATAACGACAAACAGCAGCACCACCCCTAGAACTATAGCTGTCACAATCACTGGATTTATAAACCCATGTCTGTGACATTTAGAATGGCGCTCTTTATTGTCATTTTTCTTATCTTCATCATCACAATCATTGTCATCATCATTTTCCTTCAAGTCATCTTTGTCTGGAAGAAAGACAGTGTTGACTCAATCACTTTGTTTAAAATAAGGTTAACTTAACCTTGGTAAGCAGAATGAAATAATAAGAAACCCATGGTGTGAGTATCATTAAGCAGCTTTCTTTCAGTAGAAAAAAAACCTTTACAGTTTCTTATCTATGTAAATTAAAGCCTGAATGTGTTCCAGTAAAGCGCAAATGGACATGATTAAAGGATTTCCGCTCTTCAGTCAGGAAAGATAACTCTTAAAATTATTGTTTAATTTAAAAAGTTCCAAAATGAAGCTTGAAATTGAAAACTCTTTGTGCAACGATTTTCATTCCATGCATCTCAGTATGGATCAAGGTTCTTTGAAGTCTTAGAAACGGTCCTTTAAAAAGTAGACATTTGTACCCCATAAATACTTTTTTGGAGAAATCGAATTTCCTTAAATCTAGCCCTAGATATCAATGTCTATTAGCATGATATGAAATTAGAAATGATATAAGATGTCTCGCAATGATAGCACAAACTTTTTATTCTATGTGTCATATATCAGTTGCAGTAATTAGAAGAATGAAAAAGGTAAAGAAAACTAACAGTGATCGATCTACAAAAAATATAAACAATACAAATATGTGAAGATGGCATAAAACACGGATCTATGCCATTACAGAGGTGGGATCACTAAAGAACTGACGACTAAGACAAAAATTTAATTTTGAAAACTCTTTTTTTTAATTCGACCTGGAAATCTTTTTGATCTTTTTAAAGAAAAGGAGATGGGCGAACATAGCGTGCAGAAAGCCTATAGCTTCAGAAATATAAAAATCATGTTTAATTTGTAAATTTAATATTTAGAGTAAAGTTCTCATTATTGAAATTTATGAAATTGTGATAAACAAAACTTTTCTGAGAAAAATTTTCTCGGCAAAATTTATTCTTTTCTTAAAAAAAATTAATGTGGTATTGGTGGTGTTCGAACCCTAGCAATAAAAATCCTGAGTATCATTTTCTTTCGAGACTAGCACGCTAACCACTAAACTACACAAGTGTTGATGAACAGTGGCATTTAAATCATGTTTGTGATATGACCCTTGACTTGATGGACTTAAGTATTTCTCGAAAAGATGCGAATGTTATGTCATAAAAGTATATTTTTAAGGTATAGTGGGTCATTGCTCCATATTTTTGGTAACCAAAAAATGTATATTTTTATGCAAACTTTGAGGATTAAGTTTCAAAAAGATGGAGCGAAGACCCACTCATATCGAAAAATAGTGTTATAGTATGAGAAAATGACTCTTTTTGCCCGCTTTAGTGTGTGTCTAATATTTCACAGGCAAATAATTTCAATCTTTGAGGGATTTTTGCAAATTGCAGAGATTTTACATAAAGTATATTTTAATGTTAACCGAAATATCAAGGAAAATTTTGATATAATTGAAATTTAATTTTTCATCTTCAAGTTTGTCCCACTATAGGCTTATCGCTCGTCATGTTCACCCATCTCCTTTTGGAATATATATTTATGAATATAATTTTAACATAGAATTATTTATTTTACAAGATTTTACAAGCAACTTAAATTTTTGGTCTTAGTCGTAAGTTCTTTTGTAAAACGGGCCCCAGGTTCCTAGGAGGAGTAAGCATTCCAAGTTGACCTGTCACTCTCGCCGTAACCCTATGTATCAATCGAGTAAAGGGAACATTCCGCAGTCAGATTCAGTATAAAAAAGGGCCTAACAATACGAATGAAACACGGCAGCCACAATATGACTCAACGATAGGTTATATTTGCTAACGAGGTCCATGATAACCATAGAATGTACGAATTGCTGATTTTAACGAGGTTGTTGAAATCACTGTAATATCAACTTAACTCTTAGTAGCCTGTCTCGGTTTAAAAAAAATTGGTCGTACTCGGAGCATTCTCTTGAGTGTCGAATCAGTTGGGAGATGTAAACACCTTCTGCAGGTGATAACGCGAGATTACTGCATAAATAAGGAAAGTTGACGATGAAAAAGCTGAAGTCATCTCGTTTGTCAAACAATTTAGTTGTTAGTTGGCCTTATCATCTGTAGTCAGTAAAACATCCTAGTAAGAAACATACGTGACAGACTTTGTGGTGTCTTTTATTTCAAGTTTAAGTCGACATATGTATTGAAGTAACTATTGTTAATTGATAATACGGCGTCGTCGATATACTAGTATCTAAATGTTGAGTTGAAGGCTACAGCAAGCGTTTTCTTCCCAGGTAGAATTTTTGAATAAACTCTGCTTTATAGAACTAAAGTAATGTATGAGTAAAGAAAACAAGTAATTTTCTCCGAATGCCTTGATACCTATAGTTTTTATCCTAAAATATATTTGTTGATCATTTTCAGTTAAAAAATGTACAGCGAGTGCTTCTAGTTTCCTGGTACATTTAAAATATTTGAGATTCTATAATTTTCCCTATATAATATGATTAACTATAATGATGAACTTCGAAGAAATACCACGGGTAAAAACACATTACTTTTAGAATTCGGAGACATTTTTGTGGGCATTTTCAATTACTCAATTCGTGATTTTCAGAATCTTAGAATCTGATTTCCTTAAGCAAGCATAAATTAACGTTACATTTCCCAGCTGTATGTTACGTTAACATTCAACCCCTAGTATAGTCCAATCCCTATCCCGAGGATCACAGTTCAAAAAAGTCGTGATTTTACACTACATGAGTATGCTTTATAATACGACTATTGGCAGCCTTTTAGAATATATACAAAAACTTGGAACTACACGAGAAGGAGAAAACACTCGCTGTGCCCTTCAACTCGACATTTAGATCTATCGACTACGTATTATCAATTAACGATAGTTACTTCCATTCATATGTCGACTTCATATATTCCGGTGAACTTGAAATAAAAAATACGACAGAGTCTGACACATGTATCATATTCGAATATTTTAGTAGTAAAAAATGTTAATGATAATCTAACAACAACAGTTTATGATAAACGTGATGACTTCAACTTTTCGATCGTCAACTTCCCTTACTTATGCAACAATATACTATTACCCTTATCACCTGCTAATGGGGTTTATATCTCCCAGTTGATTCGATACGTAAGAGCATGCTCCATGCACGAACAATTTCTAAAACGAGGCAAGCTATTGAGAAACAAGTTGACAAAACAAGGATATCAATAGTCTCGTTTAATGTCAGCATTTCGCAAGTTCTTTGGTCGATACAATGACATCTTCAGCAAATACAATCTATCATTCAGTCGAATGCTGACTGACATTTTTCATACTACCGGGTAATTGTTAGGCCATTATTTAAAAAACACTAAATTGTCTACAAATTTTTCCGTTTGCCCGATCATGACAATGAGCACATGGCGGATGTGACCGGTCGACAGGGGTTGCTTACTCCTCCATGGCACCTGATCCCACCTCTGGTGTTTTTTAGAGGTCCGTGTTTGCTCTGCTCCCGATTTGTATTTCAATGGACTTTTGAGCTTGATTACTGTTCAATATCTCCATATTTCATCTATATATTTCTTTGTACATGTAAAAATGTTCTCTTTGCAGTTCCATCCCTTTTTCGGGAAAGATAGCTTTTATTAACATGAATCCACACAACACAGCAAAATTTGTATAGAAAATTGACAAATTGTAGTGTCGAGGGGATGTTACAGAAATATACAATTTTCGTACCCTTTCTTGTTCCATCTGTGTGATAGGACCTTGCTTAAACAAACGTAGATCTTAAACACAGTAAGGTTACTTTAAAAAAGCACTCTACATATCTCTGTCTGTGGACTTCTGTGGATTTCTTTTGAGACCTTGTGACTACAGTAAAACTCGTTTAGTACGAATACAGATATAGCGAAATCACGGATATTGCGAATTTTTCTTGGATCCCCAGCTATATAAATTTAACGAATTTCTTATACGGATAAAACGAATTGCAGATATAGCGAAGTAATTTCACAGGTCCCAGTGACTTCGTTATAACCGAGTTATAACGAGTTTTACTGTATTTTGAAGAAATTAGAATCGAAAGATTCCATTAAAGTTTATCATTTCTGACAAATTGTTTATTCAGAAAGTTTTATGTAACCCCACCGTATTTTCTTTTACTTCTGAATGATGTGGTACATGATCCGACACAAACCTGTATCCTGAGTGGCGAAACATTTTTGTCCTAAGGGTGTTTTACAACATTGCTCCTCCTTCTGACAGTCTCTGTCCCTGTTACACCACATGGCAGTAGTGAGGGTCACTGGGTCCATCTTCTGCACCTCCTCCCTGGAGGGACATTCTTCTTTATGTGCTATGATGGGTTACAATCAAAGAATATTTTACATCGAGGAGGTTGATTCAATTCCTATCATCATTTCTTCAAATTAACTAGTCAATCTTGTTTTTTTTTTTTTATATCAGTATTAAAATTGTGAAGTTATTTCAGAGGCAGATTACGAAATAATGTTTTTGGAATATAAAATAGGTAATCCCAGCAAATCACTGTTTTCCATAATGAAACTTATAAAAAGAAATAACCTACCTTGTACAAAAACAAGAGAAAGGACAAAAACCACTGCAAATGCGAGGGTTTTCATTTCAATTCAATTTATCGAAAACGTTTACAATGTTTTTTGTGCCATAATTATTGGCTAAATCTCAAAGAAGTTAAGCAATTAACAACACATGAAAAATTTAAAAGGCCTATGGTCGCAGCAAAAATAGATCAATACATGTACGACAAGCGATCGATATATCAAGCTTATTCTGTGCATTGTATGTAGTTTTGATATACATTTCATGGTGTATGTGTCACGTTTTCAAATAGAATTTTTTTTTCATCTCTCGTATTCAGTTCTTTGCTTTTGTAAGGGTATTTTCTTGGCACTGTATCAAAAAACGTGACGGATTATCATACCTTCAATACAGATTTTTTTTCTTGTTTACAGTGTCATTCATCTCATATAACACAAAAAGGTCGTCCTTTTTAATGATTTATATTTAAATTACACAGTGCAGACTTCAGCTCTCATGTAATTGTTTCTCGCTTTAAAATACTCGGTATTCGCTTTTTCGCGTATATATAATTGCATTATAAAATATTTTTAAATGTCTTTAAAAAAAGTATTAATAATATAGATATAGCTTAAAAGTTTGATACTGATCATTATAGCATTACCAGTACTTTACACAGTGGCGGATCCAGGAATTTCGTGACAGGGGGGCGCAGTATAAGGCAGGGGAAGGGGTTCTGGTGGATGCATTGAAGCCGCCAGTGGGTCTAGGGCAAGGCCCTGGTGGGGGTCCGAAGCCCCCGGAAGCTGACAAATTCTTACAAATAAGAGATGTTTTTCCTTGATTTTAGGATAATGGACATATAAATTCTACATACAAAAAAATTCAAACGGGGGGGTGGGGGGGGGGGGTGGGCACGCCCGGCGCGCCGGCCCTGGATCCGCCTTTGATTACATAAATCAAAGATACAGAGAACAAAGTACAAGGTATATCTATCCAGCTTTTATTTTATTTCTCTGTTTTAAGGATAGATATAAAAAACGTTTTTCCCCAGAAATCAGCAAAATTTCTCATAGATTTATATTCATAGGTATCCTGAATAATGTTTGCCAGGTAAAAAGGGAGAATTTTGCAAGACTTTGTCACAATTAAGAATGTGTACAAAATTTTGTATAGAATTACAAAGAAAACGACACAAAGTCACATACCTAAGCACCGAAGAAAACTTATGATTTCTTTATATTTTAGGAATTTATTATGTCGTCATTTCCATTCAAATTCAGTCTCTCTCTCTCTCTCTCTCTCTCTCTCTCTCTCTCTCTATCTATCTATCTATCTATCTTTCTATCTATCTATATATATATATGCATCAAATTTTTGTTTGTGTTATGTATTCTTGAATATCACTAATGAATGCCATACTGTAGATCTTTAAAAAAAAATTAGACATCCGGACAACAGAACCCCTTGGAAGATATATAATTATGAAATCTTGGCTCCTAACTAACCGTATATCAAATGATACCTTGGTACAACAGAGAAATTTTTCTCCTCCAGAAATCATATACATATATGTGTTTTTTTTTAATTTGCCTCACGTTTTTTCTCCCTTTCTCTTCACGTTTTACCATGATTGTTTCTATTCACGGCTTGTAAGCATTCCCTTTTCAAGAAATAGCTTCAACTTCCTGAATTCCTTGTTAAGAAAAATCAAAACGTTACAATTCCATATTCATAATCCGGTATAATGAGTGTTTCAAATGTGTACTGTATATGTATTGGTAAATATACTATAGTACTCATTAAAGAATTTTATTATATGCAGTACTTAAGGCAATAGAGATTGAGATACATTTATTTTATAAAACTCAACAAATCTACCAAGATTGTTCCTGTCCCGCAGGTATCTAACATTTCAAATGACCCATTAGGTCTACAAATCCTCTTATTAACGCCTTATGAACAAGAGTAAAAGTACATTTTGGAGGTGAGGTCATTCAAAACAAATGTAAATATCAACTGACATTAATAGTAGGCATATAAACGTACTGAATCCAAAGAACCTGAAAGAATTTGTAATTTACTTATACATATTGACAACATCACGTACATCTATAAGAAGGAAAGGCAAATTCACAGTAGAATTTTCAAGAAAGAAGAGATTTCCATGTTGTACATTGATAGTAGAGCAGCAAGGATATTTCAGTATATCATGTGTCATATATACTTATACTTCAACAAAAAAATTCAATTTTCATACCGATATATATTTACATGTAGATCAAATGCTAAAGAACACGTAATTGCGAAAAGGAATCTATATATACACAACATGTGTCAAAAACAAAAGGTGCATAATTTATAAAAAATACAGATGTATAATATTTCAAAAAAAAATCATGGAAAGTATACATGTTCTTTTTCGTAGTCCAAATCGAACCAATAGAACTTTTATTTCAGTTATTTTAAATGCGCTCTTTCTCTTCCTCCAGTTTCTTGTACGCGGGCTCAGAAGAAACAAAAACTTCCGGGGAGAATTCCAGGCCAAGGATTCCTTTCATTGCCGCCTTGTCTGGAACCGGGGCGATGTTTTCAGGTGTGTAAACGGATTTTCTGGCTTTCTCAGCAGCTCGCCTAATGCGTCGGCGCCGGATGCAGCTATAAAACGAGGAAAACAAACAATAGAATAAACACATTTACTTACATGAATACCTGTATGAGAAACATGCATCTTATATGAAATTTTATGATCATCCACTATTACATTTAATGAACAAATATAACATACCATGCCACAGTAACAGCAATAGCGACCATGATGATCAGTCCGACTACTGGTGCGACGATCCGGACAATCTTGTGCATTCTGTGTTTATGATGACATCTCATGCGATGTTTCTTCATCCCTGTGTGTCCCTTTTCTTCCTCAGCTAGACGATCCATCTCGTATACTCTATCGCCGTCCTCCTTCCTGTCATCGTCATCGTCACAATCGTAATCATCATCCTTGTGTTCCATAAATTCCCTCTTCAATTCCTCCCAGAAAGAGTCACTATCATCAGTGGATTGGTCTTCTGATTAAAGTGAAAAGGGATTTCATATAAATGATTGAGAGGATCAATAAAAGGATGTATCGTGTTTACTTAATTTTCTTAAAGCAAAATGTTACACGAAATTCAATCGATGACATAAAGCAAACATGTTAAACATAGAAAAATATCTTGTTTATCCTCTGTAAATTTGAGAAGAACAGAGATGACTCAGCGCTATGGATAGGTAAATTTATAAATTGTGGCAGAGCCTGACGACTCTGTTGATTACCACTTACCATCCATCCTGGGTCGGATACAATATTTTTTTCCTGTTTTAGGACAAGGACAACACATGAGACCCTTAGGACAGTAGGGTTTTTCTACACGACATGGTTTAGGCTTCATCACGTACTCGATCATCGGAAACTCTTTGGGACATTTTCCCGCTGATGGCTCTGAAAAAATAACAACCAAATTTTTACACTCAGTTAAGAAAAGCCGTCCAAATAAGATAAAATAGACAATTTTTCGTTCCTAACCTGCTGTTGGGATCCCTGGATAATCCTGTGCAAAGCACAGTCCAGCGAAAAAAACGACAACAAGGAGAGATAGAACGTTCTTCATGGCGGCAAACTCTAGTCCTCTGATCATCGACCGCACAGCTTTATACTAGTTTCAGGCACCCGTTCAATATACCCAGCTATGTGCAGTCGAACAGAACAGAAGTCCCGTGACACTAAGCTATATATATACTTAGTCATGATCCATGAACAATGCACTTCTTGTTTAAAAGGATCGAGGTAAACATTTTGTAGTGCAAAGGAATCGGAAAATAGACCATTTTAAATTTGTGTTAATTTTTCTGCATGGTGCATTACTTAAACTTCAGAAGCTATTGCTTCCACCAGTAAAAACTAATAGAAATACATATTCCTACTTTATTATAGATTTTTGTATTATTGTTTAATATTGTATACCTAATGTGGATCACTAAACTTCGACTATGTTCTAATTTTTGGCCCTAAGCTAAAATCAGAACATAGCTAAAACGAAAGTCTTGATTAGGGACCTTTTTTGACTCTCATCATAGACAGATGCCACAACAGACTTACTTTTCAAATTTCTTCCTTTCAGGGGATTCTTTATTATACATATCTTAAAATACATCATGAAAACAAAGACCCCAGTCTATCTAAGATAAATTTTGATTTAAAGATTTAAAGATAAACCTGGTAGCTGGACTATTTTGTGCTTTCTGTTTTCTGAAGTGAAATGTGTCTTTAAATTGACGAAAAATTTCAGTTTTTTTTTAAATCTGAAAGGAATAAATGCATGATTTACCTTAGATCCTTTGCAATCCATTTAATTAAATATAGAATAAAAATATAATCACATACGTGTATGTTTGATTTCAAACTATTGCAATATTCCGAGAGAAAAAGGGTATGGAAGAGGTGGTATTTAAAGCAATATGAGCTGCATTTTTGAGAATTTTATTTTGCTGTTAAAATGTGCTGTTATGATAAATCTGTATGTAATTTAATCCTTTTTGATTCAATTAGACTAAATTAAAGCATTAAATTTTTTTTAGAAGAAAGATTTCTGTACAATGGAATGTACGATATTATATAAGAAATCAATATTGTACAGGACGACAATAATGTAATTTTGCTTCAATCAAAGCTTATAAATAGTTCTTCCATCGCAAATATGAACAACAGAAGTTTTAAAACGTTCTTTTTTGTCATTGAAATAGTAAATTACAATATCACAACAAAAATTTTCCGACATCAAAGTTGCAGCTCATATTGCTTTAACTTGTTCTGGGTCTTAATAACATGATAGAGATATTAGTTCAGAATTGTTATCTTAAATGGAAACGAAGAGCAAAATCGTTTACTGAAGCGTATTTTTACTGTATTTATAAGTCAATATACACCTCTCTTTCATTTATGCATTAAGTAATTCTAGTATCTGCATTAAAATATTATAATTGTTTGAGGAAATTTGATCAATTTTTACTATTTAATTTTTTCTGATTGCTTTTTCTGGATTTTTTTTAAAACAAGGACTAGTAATGAAAAAAGAAAGAGTAAGTAACGTCTTTTAGACACTCTGAAAAGTTACATAACTATAACTTTCAGTGAAAAGGAGGTGGTGCTTTTCGATTTTAGGTAAAAGAAAGTTATTGTTTGATTTATTTATAAACAACAAAATATGGAAACCACACACACACACACACACACACACACCGTTAGAAGCATTACCTAATATAAAATTTAATAGGAGTCTGCATAGCGGAAGTAAGGTGTTTGAAGCTGCTGTAGGGTTTGGAGCATATCAGGAAAAAGATTGATGATATCCGAAATTGCAATGATTTCTTCTTAATAAGATCAGTAAGGTTAAAGTAATTTCTTACTAGTACGACTTTTCAACACTTTCTCCAAAATAAATTGAGGACCAGACCTTTTGACATCATAGACAGCTGCTTCTTCAATAAAAATGGATCAAGTAAATTTGCATACTTTGCCATTGTCATTCTGAAATTATTTTTGTAAAAAAAAAAAATCCGATTCTACATACAGGTACTCAAAGGTTAGTATAAAAATAATAGAGTTTCTCTTTAGTAAAATTAATGTACCTTGGATAATAACTGTGCTTCTTTTTTAGCAGAGCTGTTCTTCATTCAGATAAATAATGGGGGTCAGCAACTTTTATACAAGCATTTTAATTTACCTGATCATTCTATTTTGTCAATGAAAGTTAGAATTCTAGAGAAGATTTACCACCACACAAACAGCCCATCACCGAGTACACCTTTCCGTAGACAATGAGAAGAATTTTGGATTAGAAAGCTAGGGACAGCCTTTCCCTATGGATGTAATGACAATGTCGATAGTGTTGGAAATCTTTCCAGTCCACAGTGTAACAATGTAAATGTGATGAGACTTTTTAACCATACACAGAGACGTAAGCGTAGTCATGGGCATCGGTCTTATAATAAACCTTTAATACACGATGTCTCTTTTGATTCATTACTACCTTACGTAAATCAACAGTTAGGTTTACATCATATTCGCACCAAACTTTACTCTGTCCCTTTGAAACTTTTAAATAGTCTTCTTGAAAAGGTCAAGGAAAGTCCATTTTTTGATTCCTCGACACCAGAATATAGGCTCGGATCTGTGGTTATGGATATTGCAAATCATAGGCTTTTTAAACCCCCACGTTTTACTGAGGAAAATGCAGCTAAAACAATCCGTTTTTTCCTTAAACTTCAATATGCCAACAAAGGAATTGACGCGGTTGATATAAGTAATATTCTTAATCACAAAATGGTCCAGTCTTGTATTCCACCATATTTCAAGTTAAAGTCTACACCTTGTATTTCCTACAAATATACATCGACTATTGCTCCCAAACTTTTTAATTGCAAGAAAACTTTACAGGGCCTGGATATCGAATATTTGAAACATAATCCTCCATCGTGTTCATGTTCTTCTTCACCCTATAACTATAGTCCTGCTGGACAAGTTATTACTGGTGACGTAAATATAGTTAATAATGAGGACCTTAGATCACTAATTTTAAAAGGTCCTAAATATAGGGAACCCCGATCCTTCAACTGGCGTCGGAATTTCATAAATATTATGGATTCTGTAGAGGACTACGCCAGGCGATGGGCCAGACATGAAAAAGAAGACCTTGACACTTTGTCAGAATGGATTAAATGTATCAGATGTATGTTAAAATCGCGCATAAAAAGATTGAGGGGCAATATGAGAACCATCTATTCTTCTGTATTCAATAATCCAGAAGTGAAAAAAGAATTAGATAGATTACATGATCAGTACGTACTGGTCCCTGCTGACAAAGCAGGTAACAACATTGTCTTTGTTTGTAAGGCTCATTATATTAAATGTATTTTAGAGGAACTTGGATTTAATTCTACAAGTGGTAATCCAACTTATACTCTTAGTTCCCTTTCTAAGGAAGAAATTCTTCAAAATCATATGTCAGTTTTGAATATTTTTAATATTCCAAACAACCAAAAAGAATTTGAATTACCATATCTATATTGGATTGCAAAACTTCATAAAAATCCTTACAAACAAAGATACGTAGCGGGTTCCAGTAAATGTTCAACCAAGCCCCTTTCTTTACTCCTCACTTAGATATTAACAGTAGTGAAGGAGAAACTTCAAGAGTACTGTGCAACAATATATTCGAGAAGTGGTGTAAATCAGATGTGGATACTTAAAAATTCCAAGGAACTTTTGGAAAATTTGAAATCACAAGATTTTACTAAAATCAACAGCTTAAAAACTTACGACTTTTCAACTTTATACACAATCATTCCCCACGATAAATTAAAGTCCAAGCTTTTTGATATAATTGACAGCTGCTTTTTCAATAAAAATGGAACTCGTAAATATACTTACCTTGTCATTGGTCATTTGCAAAATTATTTTGTTAAAAAACATTCTGATTGTACACACAAGTACTCTGAAGTTGACATTAAAAAGATGCTTGAGTTTCTAATTGACAATATCTATGTGGTTTTTGGAGACCAGGTCTTCCAACAATCTATTGGAATTCCCATGGGTACCAATTGCGCTCCGTTATTAGCAGACCTTTTTTTGTATTCATATGAAACAGAATTTGTCCAAAATCTTGTACGTGAAAAGAAGAAAACACTTGCAGTGGCCTTCAACTCGACATTTAGATATATCGACGACGTATTGTCAATTAACAATGGCTATTTCCATTCCTATGTCGATATGATATATCTTTGTGAGCTTGAGATAAAAGATACCACAGAGTCTGACACATCTGTTTCATATTTGGATATTTTACTAGAAAAAGACGTTAATGGTAATCTAACAACAAAGCTTTATGATAAACGTGATGACTTTAACTTTTCAATCGTCAGCTTCCCTTACTTATGCAGCAATATACCTTCATCACCTGCATACGGGGTATATATCTCTCAGTTGATTCGATATGCAAGAGCATGCTCTACGTATGTACAATTTCTAAAACGAGGTAAATTATTGACAATCAAGTTGATGAAACAATAATATCAGCAGTCTCGTTTAAAGTCATCATTTCGTAAGTTCTATGGTCGATACAATGACCTTGTCAGCAAATACAATTTATCATTGAGTCAAATGCTGACTGACGTTTTTCATACTAATTGTCAGGTCATTATTTACACACTGAATTGTCGACGGATTTTTCCGTTATTACCCGATCGTGACAAGGAGCACACTGCGGGTGTGACCGGTCGGCAGGGTATGCTCACTCCTCCATGGCACCTGATCCCACCTCTGATGTTTGGAGGTCCGTGTTTGCTCTACTCCTATTTTGTATTGTTTAATGGACTTTTGAGTCTGAATACTGTTCGTTATCTTCATATATTTCATCTTATGAAGTAGAATTTATTCAATGACTTCTACATGAAAAGACGAAGTCTCTTGCTGTGGTCTTCATAGTTCAATATTAAGATATATCGACTACATTAAATCAATTAACAATATTGATTTTTATTCCTCATTTATTCCCTTGAATTCAACTGAAAAGACACTAAAGAGTCTGACACATGTGTATCATATTCTTTTTTTCTACTAGAGAAGGGTATTACTGGCAAACTAAAAACTAATCTTTTGATAAATGTGATGACCTGAA